ATTATGTGGAACCAGCATATAAACATGTGATAATAACTGATTTATCAAACAAAAGAAAGCACAATAAAAATAAAAAGCAAGACTTTATTGAAAGATATAATATGGAACAAAATTTTCATTGCTTTGAAAAAATACCCATGCTCCATAAGTTTTAAACCTGTCATCCTTCCAGCCCACCCTCTAAAACATATCCAAGAAGTATGGGCAGATATCTCAGTGATCTCATATGTTTTAGCTACTAAAACAAGGAAAGTACATTATCCCACAATCATCCAATAAGCCTCAGGCAAGCAACAATTTCCATCATATATAAATGACATAAGAGAGGATGTGATCATTGAAGCCTGTTTCTCATAGAGTTCACCAATATTTTTTCAGTGATTATAAATTGCATACCATTGAAGGAAAGAAAAGAGAACAGCCTAACATATGCTATCAACATTATATGTAGACAGGAGGAGGAATGACTTCCTTTTCTTTAGTGACTACATAAGATCTTCTTGGAAGTGCAATAATCTGGCAAAGTACGAGTTACAAACAGGGAATCCATAAACACAAACACATCATGAGAGTTTTCATCATTTTTTAATTGCTTGATAACTATATGCCAGTAAACCACACATTTTTGCAGACAACATATTTCCACCTACACTTCAATTTGCAATTATGAACACAACTCTACCATAAATATGTACTTCAAAATTTAACATGTGCACATAATGGCCAACTGAGAGCATGGTATATTGAATATATAACAATATACATTGATGTTCATTAAACGGAAAATACACTGAAAAAGGGATTTGTGACATGCTGCACATGCTAAGAAATTTATCAAGATATTAACATTGGAAAAGAAAAGCAAGAAATTATCCAATGTAAAACACATACCCTCCTGTTTGTAATAACATACTATGTTTCACATATATAATCCACTCTCAGAAGGCATTTTGAGTGCTTTTATATGTCACTGCATATTTACATATCAATTTCTCCATCATCAATCTCCTTTATACTTACAAGAGTATCAACAATTCCAATAGAAAAATCACCTGATTTCCTTCAACAATGCTGAATTTCTTCCTTTTTTTTTCCCTTTTGTTTGAATTTTGCAATGAGAACCATAAGAACCAACATCATATCAGGTTCTACTACTTCAAGCAAGCACAACAAAAAGCGTGCCTTTCTGAAACACAGAGAAAAAGAACTTTTATATGATTCTAATCCTGTTAAATCAGTTTGGAGAACTCAATACACCAACCTACGCAGGCACCAAAACTCGCGTCCCCATGAAGATATGCATGCACAAGGAGAGGCATATTGTGATGATGACCATAGACTTGCCACTGATGTATCTCACCACCTCCAAACCCTTTACGACCAACTCTTCTCGTGCAGAATTTACTCCTCTTTTCGCACCATCATATATCTTCCACAACACGAAATCGAGAAAAGACTTGACAGTCTCAAAGGTTATCCTCCCTGTGACATCAAGAATGAACCTCCTGTTGCTCGGTACAGCCAATTTGGACGTTATCTGATCCACCCACCCACCTCCATCCTTCGCCTTCTGATCGAGTTCCTCCACTCGAGGAAGATCTTCTGCTCTGACCTCAGGCGAGCCCGAATTGGAGCTTATCACCTGGTGGGAAGTCTTAACAAGGGTTTCGACCGCTCCGTTGCACATTGAAACCAACATGTCCTTCATCTTAGCCTCGTGTTTCGGGTTGGTGAGGCCGGAGAAGAGCTCGTCATAGGTGTTGATGTCCATCGTCTTGTCGAGGTAGACCGTGACGGCAGTGCTCACAAACAGCTGGACAACGTTTCCGACGAGAGCTCTAGATTCATCGCTGCAAACCAATTGGAACCACTGTGGCACCACCTGCGAGTCCGATCGCTCGATGCCATCGGGTTCACCACCGGTCGATCCCCTTGTGTAAAACCCCATCACAAGGCCCTTCGCTAAGCTGCCAACCACCACGGAGGCGAACCCGGTTCCAGCGGCGGAGAACAGCTTATCCATAACCCGATCGGAGAATCTTGCTCCGGTCCCGGTCTCCGAAACGGAAGAATCAACCATCGGACCATTGGATTGGAGCCCTCGCACAAGTCCGATCGTTAGGGCTTCGGAAATACTAGAAACGGAGCCGGATAACTCGTCGGAGCGGACGATCTTGGACAACTGCTTCAAGCTGGAGGGGAGATCGTCGGCGTCAGAGCGGAGGAATCGGTTGAGATCGGAGGATACAAGGGAGACAGCCTCAGCGGAGGATGCGGCGGCATCGGCTGCGGTGGCGAGGGCAGAGAGGAGGCAAAACAGCTTCCTGCGCCGCCGGGCGACGGAAGGAAGGTGGTAGATTCTATAGGCGCCGTATCCGGAGACGACGACGGTGGCGGCGAGGATAAGCCATCGCCGGCGGCGAATGTAGGGGAAGGGGAAGAGGAGGTCCATCGGAGGAGGCGGCGACGGAGACTACAAGTATTTGGCTTCCGGTCGACGATTAGTTTTTAGCCACGATATCTAATTTTACAATATGAATTCCTATATATATATATATACGAAAAATGAGGGAGTGATCAGTATTGACTTGTACCCGTTCTGACGTGCCCGTTATGGAACGAAGAGAGAATGAATTGGAAGCAACAATGGGGCCCACAAGGATCTCACTGGGTGGAGAATGCAGAGTAGGTCGAAAACGATTCGAGGACGAGCCTCGTTACGTTTTGGGCGAGACGGGCAAATACAAATAGGGAAATAAAAATCCCTCAATAACTGCTCTTGAAGTAATAGTTATTAGCTCGAAGTCTGTGGGTTTTTTGTGGTATATAATATAATATTAGAAAAAAATTATTTCTTTTTTGACATCCAAATATGCAAGGGAAGGAATAGTGAATGGAAAAGAAGATAACAATAACGAGAATGTTTTATGTATTTAGATGTCTTGTATTTTTGAATCGAATTTTAGCCATTCAAAATGGCTGAGTTTGGATGACCATTCAAAATTTATAGTTTGATTTGGAAGCAATCGAGTAGGAGAGTCAATTCTTAAGTCAGGTTTGATAGTTTGTAGCCATTCAAAATTTACGTTGATTTTTCTGAAATTTCGTCCACGTAAGCTTATAACAGGATTTAAATCGCTGCTGCCACGTGGCACGAATGCAGAGAATTGGGGAGTTGTGCCGTCCACGGCAAACTAACTTCCCCGATTCATCCGTTTCAAGTTCACTTTTCGCCCATGCATTTCATCACGCCCAAAATATTTTCATATTAAGACCTGTAAAAGAAAGAAAAGGCATTGGGAGTAAATATAATGAGATAACAAATCAGAATCGGAAAAATATAAGTCAAGAAGGTAATCAAATTATTATTAGATGTAATAAATGCGAGTGAAATAAAGGAACTGACTTCATATTTACCTTTCTTTCCAAGGGTGTACAGTTACAGTGATAGTTGCTTGATGATAGTCTACGCTACACAAACATATTAGCGGATATGTTCTTTGCAGTGGAAAGTTGGTTCATTATCCTTACCCTCAAAAGAACAAAAATAAGGTGTCTTAGATAAAGAACCATTATTTAAAGAAAACCTAACATCATTGGTAAAACAAGGAAAACATGTCAAACACCCTTCCTCACATTCTAGTGCTTCTCATCCTTGTGAATCTCTTTCCTTGGAGCCTGAGAATCCAACTCCTTGGGTGCGGATCGCTCCACAGATCTGTAAACGAAGAGAGTTGAAAAAAAAGGTTTTTAACTTTCAAAGTTTTATCAGTCACCAAACATTGAGCATCAAGCAACACTAAGAACACCAACATCATGACAAAAGATGCAAGCGGTTGTTGACAGAAGATACTCCACCCTTATTTGTATAGCAGAGTATCTGATGGCAAATTTGAAAGAAGTACTTTTATCATAGAAACCAGTTTTGTATGTTATAGGCATAAATAAAAAGATTGCAAGAGATCAATCGTAACTTCTTTATGGATCATGGCCCAAAACATAATGTGGCAAACAACCCTTTTCTGGCTACTAGCAATACCTTCAGATCTTCATCGGTTCACACTTCTACACAGGTCTAGTTAAATCATGACTCATCGTTTCTTGGCTAAAGCTAAAATAGATTTCATGACAAACACCATCATGGAACAATCATAGTTAGCAATGATATGGGAAGATCACACTGGGCAGGCTGTCGACACCTCAACAAATGACATTTGGATCACATGTCATCTGCTAAATAGGCAACGTGGCTGGGCAAGTGAACAACATACCATAATCCTGTGATTCCCAGATTCGGAAAATTCATTGCCAAATGATACATGTAACAAATCCCAATATCCAACACTTTTAGCACTTGACCAAATCCTCCAATCCATTTGCTCACTTAAGCATTAGAGGGTCTTTGACAAGCATGCCCTTAGCACAGTTTTGCATTATCTTGGTTCGGTGATTTGGTGCTCTCAATACTAAATCCATTTGTGTGACAAACTCGGGAAAGGGTCACGATTGGATCCGAATCATCCTCCATGTCGGACATCCAGATTCTAGATTAACAAGAATATATTTGGCGAAGGACAGATAACATAAGGTGTATAAGATACAATCAAGTCAAATACTGAGATGACACTAATGTCCCCATGTGTTTATAATCAACGATCCTTGCATCATAAACCTCTAGGGATGAAAACCATAAAACCTACATAACAAGCCAGAGCGAAGTTACTCCAGCTTTATGAGAAACGGTATGCAGTGAAGTTCTCAAAACAAGCCCCACAAGTAAAACTATCGGGTACCAACAAAGGGCTCTTCTTATGGTAACAAGTGTTTGAGTAGAAAGAACACTAGATGTAACAGGATTTACAATGGATGAATGTTAGAGCAACGAGCTTGTTGAGTGATAAGAGTAAATGAAAAATTGCCTCCTTCAAATCCCAAAACTGAACTTGTTTACTATTTTAATTCAAGATAGTAAAGCATAAAACATCAGACAACTTCTTAGTGCCCAGTTTCACAGATGTCTCAAATAAAAAACAAATGCCTCAAATAAAAAAAAATACCAGGAGAAGATAGAACAGTCACATAAAATTAGCCATGTACATATAAGACAGAAAATATATGCTTTGCTGTTCAGAACATTTTTTCCTGCAAATATTTTATTCTACTAAAACTATTCGATGGAATAAAAATGATAAAAATAATCTCTATTATATTTTAATACTTAGTATCCTTTTGAAAATTCAAGAATTTAAATCCACAAGGAACAATATGACGAAAAGCAGAAGTTAAACAAAAAATTCTAATTACTTGGAATAATAGCTTCATTTAGTCATTAGAATTTTAATAAGCAAATAGATGCACTACTCAACCAATAAGATATCTATGTTATTAAAGTCGAGATCATACTGCAAATCAGTTTCACTTGCATCTTGAAATTTTGCTGGCTAAAAACCGTTAGAAATACCTGGAAGCTAAAACTAACCAGAAAAATAGGTCATCTGAAAATTACATTGATTAGTAATAAAGAATCATCTGTGGAAACATAGAATCATTCATAAGAAAATAAAATAGAGTGAACACATTAAGCCACTCTTGTATGACCAATACGTAAATATCATGTGTGTTAGTTCATTATATTTACTTAAACCAAAAAACTCCACATACGATATTATCTTTTTTACAAAAGACAGGCACTTTCAGATGTATAGTCTGTACCAAGGTTCTTGTTACCAGCATCAGTTCCAGAGCTAGTCTGCAAATGAACTAATGCATAGATGCAAACATGCAAATTTTCCATTAGCCACTGATTTCGGTTCATCACCATTGACAGCTTGGCAGTACACCATGAAATGTCTAAGTAACTCCGACGCTTGTTTCCTTCGTCTCAATTTGCATCAGGAGAGGCTGAGACTCTAGTGAACCCACCCTTCAAAATAAAGTACTCCCTGGCTAATTACCTAAACTGGCCCAACGGAAGAAAAAAGTCTCAAAGGGTAACAACAATATTACATCAATAACCCAAGTTTGTGGTCAATCAAACTAGTAATGGTGCATGTCAAGCAGCCATATGCTCCCAAATTCCCTTCATTAGTTCTACATTCACTACCTTAAGTGGCCAACCTTTGTTATTCTCCCTGAAATAAATTAACGTAGTTCATAAATTGTGATGCCTTGTAATATTTTTTAATAAGAATATTTCACTCCAAAATATTAGTAATGTAAACAAATCACAGAATCAATCAGAAAACGTGTAGGAACATAAGCAACTCATGGACATAAATGTTAGGATTCCACCTCAGCCCACCCCATGGATGGGCCATAATTAAAATATGATGACTTTATCTACCTTCTAGGATCTGGGTAATGGGTCATATGATGACAATATTTCCAGGAAAAAATACCAAATTCTTTAGCAGTAAAATGCAAGTACTTAAACCATCCTTAAAATGACCCTCAATGCCCTAATCATTGCACTATTCTGACAACATTCGTTTATGTTTCATAAATTGCCAATGGAAGTGCTAGAATTTCTTATCTAATAACTAGGATATAAGGAAACTACAACAATAACAACAAACGGTGATGTCCGAGAAAGACATAAGAAAACCAAGACATCGTATATTTTAAAGGTTTTAATTAATATATTATTTTAGTTTAGTCTCTAATGAAGGTTTCTTGAGACAGTTCGAAATAAAGACAGTAGAAGCACTAATGAGGGCATTAAATAGCTAACAGATCTGTCCATTTCAATGTCTCAAACATAATATATATATTTTTTCAGATTCGAGATCTTATATTGAGCATCCATGGTGCATGTCACTCAAAAACCATACATTGTATGCTTAAAAGGTGTCGATGAGTACTCAATAACTAAGGCCCCTTTTAAAGATACGAACTGCAAGATATCAAACACAACGCCCAAATAGCCATTTAGCAGGTAAATAAACAAGAAATATACCACGAATTTTATTTTTCGTTTTTTTACTCATTTCATTAAGAAAATACCGCAGTACTCAGGTTGATCGTTTTGCTATCTCATATAAGAGATGCTGCACTAGAAATCATACGAGTAAAAGAGTTTGACTCAATATATATACATCGTGCCACGTTTAAGAGTTTATCCTATATTGAGCTATATGAGTAAGTTGTGACACCATGAAATCCAAGATGATCCTCGCACAGCTTGGACTATAAGTGTATGTTACCACAGAAATTTCCCCAGGGCATCACCTCAATATTCAACGGGAGAGCAGAAGCAACTCGATTATTCGATATAATAAGAAGAAATTGATGTAAAGTAACAATTCGAATTAAATTCCAGAAGTTGTTTTTGTTTACTTGGCGGCGGAGGCGGACTCTTCTTCGAGCCACTGGCGGATGTGGCGGACGTTGCGGCGAAAGATGGCGGCGGACTGCTTGACGTCGCTGCGGAGGAGGAGCACGGCCGCCGTCACCCCCACGACCGTCACGATGAAGTTGGTCAGCGCCATCCTCTTCTTCCCCCTCGAGGCCAACAGAAACAGAGAAGAAAGCGCAACAATAACCCTAACTTACTCCGCCCGGTTCCCAAAACAAGAGCAGAACGGCTTCGTTTTGGATCCGTTTCTGATCCCGTCCGACCCGCAATTTCCGACAAACCCGACTCCATTTAGAGGAGTTCGACATCAAGCAATTTAGATTCGTGTCGATTAGTCTATGGTAGTATTATGTCGGCAGACTTATAACAAGCAGATTAGTGATACAATAGTTTAAACCGGCTTATTTACACCGTTACTTAGGTTGATCAAACCGGTTATATGTGGCCGTTAAGAGGAACTCGATGGCGGAACAAGCAACGCATCGGAGCTTCTTCCTCCTCTCTCTAAGCGCAGCGAAGAAAAGAAGAAGGGATTCGTGTCCGATCTCTCTCTCTCTCTCTCACGCCGATGTCCTCGTCCTCAATGTTGAACACCATCTCCATATCCGTCTCCGACGACGACGAGGTCACCGGGAGGATGCGGGTCCGCGTCCGCCCGAAGCGCAAGAAGCCGGGGCTTCGGGGACGGCGCGAGCTCCTCCGGTGGGCGGTGAGGATCGCGATGCGGTGGTGGCCTGTGCTTCTGTTCCTACCTGCGGTCGCCCTGCTCCTCCTCGAGAGCTCGCGGTTGGGGCGGAAGCTTCCTGACGAGGTCGGAGACAATCTGGCTGCTTCCGCGAAGCTGGAATCGCTGAAGAACCTGAACCGGCTCGATCCCACCACCAGAGTCGTCCATGGCGTTAGGGAGCGTAAGATGCCTCGATTTTCTTCTTTCATATATGATATACTTAGGTTACATTTGGTTTTTCTGTCATAATCACTCGAAATAGGGGAGGAAACTCTTGCAATGAGATAATTTTTCGGTTCTGGAAGACAGCTTTTAAAATTTTGGTCTTGCAATGAGCCTCCAATTTGTTGCTTTCATGTCAATCGATGGCAAATTGTTCCCCAGTGTGGAAAAGTAGTAACTTTATCCCTCTTTGACATATAATTGGATCGTAGAAATACCGGAATTGTGCACAATGAATAAAAACATGATTATGTAGAAACAAATCATAAATCCCTTACCAAAGGAATATGTTTTATCATGCTGATAATTGGGTTTGATTTCTGAAATTGTGGGTGGAAATGGTGTTTATTATTAGAAAACAGTAAAATATAAAGCAGTATCTTTTATTGATAAACTGTTTCTCTTGATTTGACAGACTGCCTTAAGATCCTTAGTCCTGAAAAATTAGAGAATTTAGAGTTTCCAGTATCCGCAGAATCCAACTTCCCCGCCAAGAGAGTGTTATACAGATCAGATTCTAGTGACCAGCATTCCGGAGAACAATACACAATTACTCAGAACGAAGAAGCTACAAGATTTAATTTGTTCACCGGATACCAAACTCTTCACGAAAGAGAAGAAAGTTTCAAGGTCCTGCTCTGCTCTTGGATAATATTAATTGCCAAAAATGTGCTTGTAGAGGATTCTGTTCTGCACAGTTATTCATCTATAAATTTCCTTTTCGGATTCTTTTTTTGTGAAAGTATTATTGAGCTATTATTGGGTACCTAAAATATAATATGAATATATTAATAACTGTGCAATGTATTTTGATTATATTCTTCTCCCAGGTTAAATAAATTCTATCATGTTTATTTTGTGCACATATGTCTCACATCAGGCGAATGAAACTGCTGTGGTGCATTGCGGCTTTTACAGTGAAAATGGAGGATTTAAAATTTCTGATGATGACAGAAGTTTCATGCGAACTTGCAAAGTAGTTGTCTCTACATGTGCATTTGGAGGTGGGGATGATCTGTACCAACCTATTGGAATGACAGAGGCATCACTTGAAAAGGTTCCAGTTATAAGTGTGCTTGTAGACTCTACAGGAATTCTCTGCTCAATTCCATAAATAGCTATGATTATGATGCAGGTTTGCTACGTGGCATTCTGGGATGAAATCACTCAGTCAACTCAGGAGAAGGAAGGAAAGGTAATTGGTGAGGACCACATGATCGATAAATGGCATGTTGTGGTTGTGAAGGATCTTCCTTTCTCAGATCAGCGGTTGAATGGGAAAATACCCAAGGTAAAGTTGTTGAGTTTGTAAAATTAATTTGATATCTATGCACTGTTTGTAAATTCCTTATTTCAGTTGTTTGGTTTTGTTTTCATTATCTTTCCATCATTCTATCAATTATTGTCTGATTATAAGAATTTTCATTTTAGAAGCAAATTAGAATTTCAGTGAAAACTTTATGACATTATGTATTTAAGATGAGTTGATTCTGAAACTGAGATTTTAGTGTTCACTCTCAAATGAAAACTTGATTTAATTCCTGGATTTTATGGTCTTAAACTCTCCCCTAAGTAACAAAATTTTGTTATTTATGCAAGTTTGACATTACTTTTCATTTTAATATCCTCCAAAAAAAATCAGTCAGGAAGCTCTAACGATCATCATCATTCCCGATCGATTTTAACTTTTTCAAGGAATTAAATCTCCCGGTACTGTTTTCATAACCTAGCGGACTGGTATGGTACTATGGTACATGATCAAACTAGTAAATATGGGTCTATACCGAGTAGCACGGGCGAGATTTGAAAACTTGACCTTCTGTCTTATGTCCTACTGCTAATATGTTATCTGATTTTTTTCAAGAATGCTTTGACAAAGTTTATGTGGTCTTTCAGTCAAGCATAAATCTATTTTTCTTTCAAGTTTCATTATTATAACATATGGTATAGAAACTTATTTATTGATAAGATGATCATTGAGTTATCAATCTTTCTCATACTCATTGCTTTAATTTTAAGTTGACACTATTCTTTTTTTTCCTTGAAACAATGGTGTAAAGTTTTCCATCATCATATCTGGCTATATATTGCAACATTTCATCAGTTTGTTCAACAATTTATTGCATTTACTGTTACAATTTTGTGGGTCAGATGTATTTTCTGTCTTCAGATTCAATTATCACTTGCTAGGATTCAACTGTCAGCAACTTTATCATGTTACATGATACGTTTTCCTCTTCAGATGTTGAGCCATCGCCTTTTTCCCGAAGCAAGGTTTTCAATTTGGGTGGACTCGAAATCTCAGTTTCGAAGAGATCCAATAGGTGTGATTGAAGCTCTACTTTGGCGTACTAATTCTGTACTTGCTATTTCTGAACATGGAGCACGAAGTAGCCTATATGATGAAGGAAAGGCTGTCGTTAAGAAACACAAAGCCACGCCAGAAGAAGTGGAGATGCAATTAAATCAGTATCGGATGGATGCTATTCCTGATGACAAGAGGTTCAATGGAAAGAAAGGTTTGCACATGATCATACTTATTTGGTGGATACACATTGCAATTTTTCATAGAGGGCAAATTAATCATCTACATGTTTTGCTTGTTCGTATAGGCCGTCATAAGCAGCATAGGTTGTGATAAGATATGCTGCTATTGATTAAATCACATATGCTGCTAACCATTTTAGGATTTGGTTTTGTACTGCATTATTGTGCAAACTAGATTAGAAATTTGATCAAAGAAGGTGCTACATAACAATTGAATGATTCGTGGTAGCATTTGATTTTCCTGTGACCTTAAAAGTTGGTGACAATAGTGATTCCCATACCATTTACTGATATTTAGTTTCGTTCTTTGACAAGTTTTTGTTCATTTACATCCCTATAGATTAGGCCATTGGTATTGCATGCATTACAAGATTATAGATTAGGCCATTGGTATTGCATGCATTACAAGATTATAGATTAGGCCATTGGTATTGCATGCATTACAAGATTGGTCCCTCCTTTGTTGGTATTGCATGCATGGCAAGTGCTGCTGTTAGTTGCTGCTATGTATTATTTGTTATGATGCAGCCTGCTGTTTCCTTAATCCTATGTAAAATTTTATCTTTCCTTCCATCTATTCTTCTCTCCATTGCCATGATCAACGGTGCCTCCTCTCATCCTCTTCATCACCAACTGGCTACTGCCTTGGTGCTCATGCCTTTCCCTCTCCAACGCCAACTCCTCCTTCCAGCCACTCCAATTGTCTAATCCCCACTCATCATCACCAACCTAGGAATCACAGTCCCTTGAAAGGGAGAAAAAGAATCAAGGAAAGAAGAAAATGGAAGGGATCCAAACCACCTCCAGCTAGAGGCTGTCGCCATCAGTACTACTCAATCAACACCAGCAACAGGAGAGAAGATAGAGGCTTCAGCCTCCTCTTTGATGGTCAAAGTAGGATAAGAGAAGGGCTGCAGCCCTCTCGCCTCTCCTGTCTATCCCTGGGACGAACATGTTCCCTCCAGTTGCAAAGAGCGGCGGGGAAGAATAGACCCACTTATTTTCATCAATTATGGGGACCCTTTATGTATGAGAAGAAAGGAGATCAAAAGGAGTGATGAGGAGGAAAAAGAAGATCAGATAAAGAAGAGGAACAAGGGACTGATGTGATATGTTAAAGGCAGGTGACTAGTTATAACAACACTAATTGAGGTACTCTAATCCAGTCATTTGGTGGTGCACCTTGAACTAGTGTAACAGCAGAGTGACAATCGGTATGCAACAGTCCAATGTATAAGGATCTAATTGAACAAAAAACTTGTGCAGAGCAAAATTGAACAAGTAATAGTAAAAAAAGAAGTTCCTGTCATTAACCTGACAACATAATTGCAAAAACTCAGCTACTCATCTGGCCTTCCTTTATTGGCTGAGGAATGCATGTGAATAAGCCACATATCATTTTGAAACTAACAATCACTTTGTATCAGGGAGTAAGTTGTCGGAGCTGATGTTTGTATTGTTCTGCAGCTCTAGCTGAGGCATCAGTGATAGTGAGGGAGCATACCGCATCGACAAATCTTTTCATGTGCCTCTGGTTCAACGAGGTGGTTCGTTTCACATCAAGGGATCAGCTTAGTTTCCCCTATGTTTTGAGACGTCTAAATATGACCAGAGTAAATATGTTTCCTGTCTGTACCAGAAAAGATCTTGTAAACAGTATCGGCCACCAGCGCAAGGTGAAACCTCTTGTAAGGCTAACTAGTTAAACCCTCGGAAACTGACATAGGCCAAGCACATTTCTAACTCATTTTCAGGTATGTGCATCTACTGATACCGAAGATGTGATTCACATTGGGTGGAGTTTTCATGTTACCCCTCCTCACCTTTGGTTTGTCAGAATGGTTTGTCTTCTGAAATTATGGTGATTGATAGTGCATAATAGTGATTCCAGCTACAAGCAATGTGTTGTGCTTCCTGCAGTAGATCTGCATTTACTGTAAGAGTCTGACTAAGAAATCTTGTTGAATGTGGCTCTCTCAAACTCAGCCAATCAAAATTCACCACATCAAGCTCAATTACAGGTGATGTTTGTTGAAGAATGAACTGAAAAGGTGCTGATTCTGTGTTTCTTTGTAAGAAGCTGAAGAAGCTAAGCATCAAACGGTGCAGTAGATCTTGTATTTTATGGGTAAATTTTGTGGTAGGAGTAGCTCTAAGTCCATACATGGAACAATCAAGATGAGTTTTCTTATGCCTCAAGCAATCTTACATGGAGAAGAACTCTTTTATCATATGCCTATTTACTAGTAGGAGATCACCTAACAGCAATATAAAAGACTGGCATTTCAGTCTCACAAATATATGTAAATATTTTTTAAATATATTATAAAATAAACAGATATTATTATTATTGTTATTATTATTATTATTATTATTATTATTATTATTTAGCCGAGAGATCAACTCGACTGGCAACGACAACGACGACCGCTTCTCCTTCGAAGGCAGGTAACAAGACGATGGCCTCTTCTGCTTCGTTAATCCTTTCGTCTGGAACACCTATTTCCCCGAGTCGATCCCGCAGCGGCGCCCACCGGCGTCCTGCATCGATCGGGGTCTCATCCTCCGCCTCCGCTGATCTTCCGCTGCGGAAGATTCCCGGCGATTACGGCCTCCCCTTCCTCGGCCCGCTTTGCGACCGGCTGGCCTACTTCTACTTCGAGGGCCGCGACCAGTTTTTCAGGTCCCGCATCCGCCGCTACGGCTCCACCGTGTTCCGAGTCAACGTGCCCCCGGGCCCCTTCGTGGCGCCGGACCCCCGTGTTGTGGCCCTCCTCGACGCCGCCAGCTTCCCCGTCCTCTTCGACACCTCCCTCGTCGAGAAGCGCGACCTCTTCACCGGGACCTTCATGCCCTCCACCGAGCTCACCGGCGGCTTCCGCGTCCTTCCCTACCTCGACCCCGCCGAGCCCAACCACGCCCAGCTCAAGCGCCTACTCTTCTTCCTCCTCGGCTCCCGCCGCCACGCCGTCGTCCCCGAGTTCCGCCGAAGCTTTGGGTTCCTGTTCGAGGCGATGGAGGCGGAGATCGCGAGGGAGGGGAAGGCGGATTTCAGCGCCGCCAATGACCGAGCAGCATTCGACTTCCTGGTGCGGTGCTTCTTCGGAACAGATCCGGCTGGCTCGAGGCTGGACCTAGACGGCCCCGGGTTGATCAACAAGTGGGTTCTGTTCCAGCTTGGGCCTCTGCTCAAGCTCGGTCTCCCGCCCTACCTCGAGGACTTCCTCCTCCACTCCTTCCGCCTCCCGCCGGCGCTGGTCCGGGCCGACTACGACCGGCTCACCGATTTCTTTCGCGAGTCAGCTGGGCCGTTCCTGGACGAGGCGAAGCGGTTCGGGGTCTCGAGGGAGGAGGCGCTCCACAACGTCATGTTCGCCACCTGCTTCAACGCCTTCAGCGGCATGAAGGTCCTGTTCCCGAGCCTGATCAAGTGGATCGGCCGGGCCGGGGCGCGACTCCACGGTCGGATCGCGGAGGAGGTCCGGTCGGCGGTGCGTGGGACGGGCAACGGGGAGGTGACGGTGCGGGCGGTGGAGGCGGCGATGCCGCTGACTCGGTCGGTGGTGTACGAGGCGCTGCGGGTGGAACCCCCCATGCCTCTGCAGTACGGGCGGGCGAAGCGGGACATGGTGGTGGCGAGCCACGACGGCCGGTTCGAGGTGCGTGCTGGGGAGGTGCTGTTCGGGTACCAGCCGTTTGCGACGAGGGACCCACGGGTGTTCGAGCGTGCGGAGGAGTTCGTGGCGGCCCGATTCGTGGGAGCCGAGGGGGCGGCGCTGCTGCGTCACGTGCTGTGGTCTAACGGGCCGGAGACGGAGGGACCGACCACGGAGAACAAGCAGTGCGCCGGGAAGGACTTCGTGGTGACGGTGGCGCGATTGCTGGTGGTGGAGCTCTTCCTGCGCTACGACTCCTTCGAGATCGAGGTTGGTGCGTCCCCGCTCGGCTCCTTGGTGAAGCTCACCTCACTCAAAAGAGCCACCTTTTGAAGGATGCGTAATCGACATACCATGTCGACAAACATTTCAGTTACAAGAATAGCAAGGAAAACTTGGTTGTACTCGATGCAAAGTATCAACAGCTTTTAGCCTACAAAGGGATTCTACTGCACATTAGATTCCACGATTAAGATTTCTCGAGGAGGCAACAGAGGAGGAGGAACAAGGAGAAGAGCTACGCTCACTGGTCCATTGATCCTGCACTGAAACTGGGGACACTGACTGGGGTTTCTCCACCACTACGCTCTCCGCCGCCGACCTCCTACTCTGTGGCTCATCATGTTGCTCCTCCGATCCTTCAGGTTGAGCTGGGCTACACTCCTCCATCATGATCTTTTCCAGCTCTTCTGCGACCTCCGCCATCGACGGCCTCGCGTCCCTGTGGAACGCCAGGCACCGGAAAGCGAGCTCGGCCACCTTCTGCACCGAAGCCCTGGTCTGACCGTTCCAATTCTCTTTGATAATCGGGTCTACGATGTCCTCCACCAGCCCCTTCCCGATCTTGTCGGCCGCGAGCGACGCCAGGTTCACCTCGCTCGCCGCTCGACGGAAGTCCACCACCTTCATCGCCGTGATCATCTCCACCAGCACCACTCCGTAGCTGTACACGTCGCTCTTGTCCGAGAGGTGGAAGTTCTGGTGGTACTGCGGGTCGACGTAGCCCGGCGTCCCCTGCGGCGCGGTCGAGATGTGGGACGACTCCACGATGCCGACCCTCGAGAGTCCGAAGTCCGCCAGCTTGGGCCGAAGGTCGTAGTCCAACAGGATGTTGCTGGACTTGATGTCCCGGTGGTAGATGGGCGGGTGCACGGCGGTGTGGAGGTACGAGATGGCCCTGGCGGTCTCGGTGGCGATGGAGACCCGGGCGGACCATGACAGGCCGTTGCCCCGCTCGCGGTGGAGGTGCTGCGACAGGGTGCCGTTGGGCATGAACTCGTAGACCAGTATGTGCTCGCCGCTGTCGATGCAGCAGCCCAAGAGGTGGACGAGGTTGGGGTGGCTGACGGAGGAGACGAGCTTGATCTCGTTGATAACATGTTCGATGTTGTCGGTGTCAGGGTGTTTGAGCCTCTTGATGGCGACGAGGCCGGTGTTGGAGAACCGTCCCATGTACACGGTGGCGTAGGCGCCGGCACCGAGCTTGTACGCATCGGAGAAGTTGCCGGTGGCACGTTCGACCTCCTTGTGGGAGTATACGGCGACGGTGCAGGATGTCTCGTAGAGCAGGCGTCGGGTGCCGGATTCCTCCACTTCGGAGACGATCCCCCGGCGTCTGACGAGGTAGCAGAGCAGTGCCAAGCCAAGAGCAAGAGCGGCTCCAGCCACGGCCCCTGCGATGCCAGAGCAGAGCCAGCATGAGTTGTGGGCATTGCCAGAGCAGAGCCAGCAAGAGCAAGAAAGCTCTTACCTCCAACAATAGCACCAGCTTTGCCACCGGGAATGGAGCTTATCGATGCAGCATCTGCCCAAGAGTCAAGAAGAGAGAATCAACGATCTAATCTTTCTACTCTTATCGACTAGCAATTTAAGATCGAAATCATATCTTAATTCGAAACTAATATCATGTGCGGATCTCAAAGCAATGTGTGCGGATCTCAAAGCATGAATTATTGGCCCATCCATGGATGGGAAGGCTTCATCCATCATCTTCCTATGAACCATAAATCATGCATACATGCCTCATTATTGGACGGACCACCAAACATCAAGCCAGCTAAGCTATTTTCTTGTATGCCATGATTTCAGATCTCCGATGACCTTCGCATGGTTGACATCTTATGGTTTCATCAGGCGGCAGTACTCTTATCATTGTCGCTTCTTTCCGTGTCTCCGTCACTACCACTATTGGAGGAGGCCCCTATCCTATCACCGAAGGTTGTCTTCTTCTTAGGACTTAATGATCACAAGCAACGAAAACCAATCCAACCACCTAATCATCGGCAACATGGTTTCCTGTCAATAGCGGAAGACTCCGGCGACCGCCACCTTCTCGGGGACCATCTTCCGAAAGCTATGTTTCGTCGGCCGCCACCACCTGATGTTGGATTTGAGCATCGAGCAAATCCGGCTACCTAATGAGATCATGTTGGGTCGCTTAATCTAGCATGAGAACTGCTCGTCGATGAGAAGACGAGCATGGGGGACCGGGTGATGGCTGAGGAGGACATGGGACTAACCTCTCCGGCAACGCTCGCCCTCGGCGAAGCCGTCGCCGATGAACCCCTCGTGGCAGCTGCACCTGAACCCTTTCTTGGAGCTATTCTGGGTGTCGACCGGCACGTCCACGCGCTTGCAGGTGGCGTTGGCCGCGCACCGGCACTCCCCGTTGAGCCACCACCCGATCTCCGCGGACCCGAATACGAGCGACGGTTGGTCGGAGGAGGCGTCCTCGCCGTACCTCACCGAGGTGTACAGGAGCCGGCAGTTGGTGGCGGCTGCCGTGAAGTTGGCGTCGGATAGGAACCCGTCCGTCCTCCCGCTGGAGTAGCAGCTGATGTCGTCGTCCTTGGGCCCGCAGCTGGTCAGCTTCATCCGCTTGGCGATGATATCGGTGGAGATGCTACACTCGGATCCGGTTTTGGACGTGCAGTTGCGAAGGAAAAGCGCGTTGCTCGCCGTCATGGCGTAGTTGGCCCCGAAGAGCCCGGCGGTGGCGCGGTGGATGAAGCGGTCGCAGACCGGCGGCACGTCCAAGTGCACGGCGTCGGTTGTGATGTTCCGAACGCGAAACTCGCCGAGGAATCTCGCGCCGTCTTGGGAGCAGTTAAGACGAATCGGACACCCGGCGGAGAAGCCGAAGGGGTAGGGGACGGCAGGGCCGGAGCCGCAGGTCCGGTTGCACCCAGCAGCGCCTGTAGCGACACACAGCAACGAAAGCGCAAAGAAGAGAAACACAGCATGGGTTTGATGGGACGAGTGGGTCATCATGGAGCAGCCGAAGGAGGCGTAACCCAGCGACGGGAGTCGTTGGCGAGCTTTATACGTCATTAATGGCGCATGGAAGAGGTCGCCGCTCTGGTTGCCGGCACAGCAGCAGAAACACTGGCTCTTCCTTTCGAGATATGTATCGAGAGGGTGACGAGGGGAGGCGTGAATTGTGGGTTAAGGATGGAGCCGATCAAGACCGGGAATGGATGATGACAAGGCCTCCTGTTCTTCCACGCTGAGAACAATAAGAAATGCTGCGGTCATTGAATGTGATGATGGAGTGTTGCATGACAGTCAACGGCGTCATTAATAGTGGCCACTCGCTAAAGCTGCATCCATGGAGCACTGGGTTTACCCTAATCTCCAACGTCGTCTCATAATTGGGGGTGGGGAGGAAAGCATGGTCCCGCCCATTGATGGGAAGAAACAGATGATGAACACAGGTGAGATGATGGGGCCCCCTTCTGCTGATCCTTCTTGATGAAGTCAATACGTCAGAGGCAGAGTTCCTCCACCGGTGAATGTTTGATGTTCTCGCTCACGCGCTTGCTTGTCGTCGTCGTCGTCGTCGGCGGCCATCACATTCCCATCGTTTTCTTAGTCTGAACGCTACAAAACTAGTAAATGTACACGTAAATATGGTTATATGAAATGGGGGAATTATATGTGTGAATTATATGTGATGGCACGCACACATCAAACAAAGCATTAATCACTCGAGGGAAGTCGGTCTCCTCTTCCTCCTCTCTTATATGCGACGAACAAATGTGTCGTGGCTGATGAGTCAGTATGGCTAGGTTCACCGGTCGATGTCAGGAGTTCTCTGTCGGCTGAGTTGGATGCCGAGGTAGATCGGGCTTTCGCGACGGAGTGTTGGTCAGAGTTTCTTAATCCAAGCGCCGTCTGCGTCGAGCTGCATCTCTCTGTTTCCGGGATAGGTGACAGCTCGCCCTCATTCACTAGATGGCGATTTCCGAGTCGAGGCGCTCGTGGCTCGGGGGTGATCGCTTCCCTGTAAAAAAAGTCTTCATCGGGTGATTCCCGACTTTGGTCCCTCCGACGAGCAAGTTAGTTGTGGGCGTAATTACTTTTCTCCTCCTCCTTTTTTGGAAGCTGGGATAGAGATCTTTATACTGACGTGAGAGGGTCGATCGTACGTGGATTGGCGTAGTGGACACAGCACGATATTAGTACAGATTCCGACCTGATGTGTAAGGCGTTGTCATCCCGGGATTGCCGAGACCAGGTATGTCGAATAGTGTATTGGGGCACAAGTTCTATTGTGACGTATGACATCAGCTGTGACGTGTTCGCGAGGCAAAACATGCCTTATCACTAGATATCTAAATTAAAATTAGATGTCTAAGATCTAAATTTTCTTAGTAGACAAAATCGATTATTCGTCAATCTTTTCTTCAAAAAGAAAAAAAGAAAAAAAGAAGCGATATCTTATAGCCTTTTTGTATTTCTTATTTGTGCTCTATCATTAAATTCCAACAAAACCATCATTTTCCTTCTTCTATTCTCACACGCATAGCATAGTTTGAACGGGAAAACATTTGCCGCCGTGTTCGAAGAAGCCATCGGTGACATCGACTCGACGAGTACGGACGAATAGAAATGGTACACCGAAGACGACGAAGTACTTGTGTACAGGTGACGGATACGGCACGCAAGTTGAGGTATTGTGCTTCGCCCATAGCATATACAAGAATCGATGGTGGCGTATTAGCTTGGTAGATTAAGAATCTAGCTTATATAATCCATACATTAAGCTTCGTTTCAATGGAGTATAGCGGTAAAATACTCACATAATTTGGGTTGACATCTCAAGGATCACAATCTTCGGCCATAACACCGGCGTCGTTAACGTATAAAATACTCGAAGGAGTCGATCACATATGAAACTTTGATTATACCCAACCAAATTTACTTTGTCATATCAGAATATATCTAAATAAAAAATAAATATTTTTTTGATAATTCAAAGTTGGCTTTATTTTTTCCACCTTTTATTTTTGTCTTCGAATCATCGGAAAATATACGAGAGAAGAATAGAGACCCTTCAAAATTTACGATCTTTATTTATAATTATAATTTATATTTTTTTGATGTTTTGGATTTGTTGACCTCTCTATCTTTTCATGTCGTTGTATCGAGTAATACATTAGCTCTTTATTTACAAAGGATTTACCCAAGACTTCGATTTCAACTATCACGATGATTCTTATTTTAACTAAGACTCCTAAATCGATAAGGATGATTTAATGAGCTTTGTGGTCTTCAAGTTGCATGGAGATTACACATCCAAAACACACATGTTTATGCATTTTTTGGTTTTATTGGAATCTCTACTCCAAATTAATCACACTTCTTTGCACAAAAAACATGGTAGACCTAATTATTAGCTAATTATACAATGAGATTCACATGTTCAATAGCTATCATTTCTATCACAAACTTAGCTAATTTTTTTTGTTAGCTCATTACAATACAATGCATCTTTACATGTAGATTTGAAGTAGGAGTCAATCATAAACCTTGATGATACCCAAACTATAAATAAAAAGTAAATTTTTTTTTGATAATTCAAACTATATATAGGATAATTTCTCTATATCCAAAATTATCTTTACGTCGAACAAATCATTAATTTACTTGAGTCGTGAGTTATCGATCTAAAATTGTTAATTTGAAAGAGCACCAGTATTAGAATTCTCTTAAGAATCTAATTTTTATGCGTGCTAAAAATTGATCGACGATCAAGTTTGACATTATAAATAAATAATACAAGTAATGTGCTACGCGTAATAAAATCCCGATTTATTTTCTTGAATTAGATTGGTTCATGTTTGAATTTACCACCCTAGCTAAGCCTAGATCCCTTAGTATTTATATCATCAGCAATGAATCACTAGGGCTCTCTTGGTCAAGAGCTCTACCTCCTCCTATCATTAGGGCAAGCATGGGGGGATGACTTGACCAACTCCAATTATTAATAGATTAAAAAGGACTAAGAAAGCATAAAAGAAGATCCTGTGATCGTAATCTAATATTACTCTATTCAACAAGCATGAATTGGGACATGTCCCACATGTTCTAACCTTTGTATGAGTTAATTAGATTAAAGCTAATATCAATGGGAGGACACCAAACCCACCTTGTCATTGTTATATGAGACAAGCTAGGATTGGTGTCATCTTGCTTTGTGTTTAAGCCACAAAGAATTGGTAACTTAAACATTTAGGATTTTGTTGTTGGCAAGCTTAGCTTTGATCTTAATAAATTATGTTCTAACATGATCTCAAAGTTAGTTTAGTCGATCGAAATCAAATTGAGTTATCTATTGAATCATTATCTTTGACAAGAAATCAAATTGAGTTGTCTATTGAATCATTATCTTTGACAAGAAATCAAATTGAGTTGTCTATTAAATCATTATCTTTGACAAGAAAGTCATGAAACATACTATAGTTAATTAGTTGATTTTTAGCTTTGAATCTTCGAGCTTTATAGTGACATTTGGATATAGGAGTTGATAATGACCCCATAATATCTGATGCACCATTATATGAGTAATTATGATCGAATTACTTATGTAATTATTGTGTCAAATATTTAATTATATTTTGTTTCTTATTCTCATGTTCATTTATCATATTATAAAAGTCCTCAAGTATATTGTCACTAGGCATTTGATTTAACTTTTTTGAGATTTGATATTAAATTGAATCGCCCGAATTGATTTGTTAACTTAAGCACCGAAAATAACTTATCAAGCACGACCCTTAATATAATTTTATAAGATCCATACGCGTAGATTCAACACCCCCATTTTATATCTACTTGTGATATATTTGATAAAAATCATAATTAGATTCAAATTATCTTGCACGTGGAATAATTAAAAGTTAGTTTAGTCGATCGAAATTATTGAATTATTATCTTTGACAAGAAAATCGTAAAAGAAATCAAATTGAGTTATCTATTGAATCATTATCTTTGACAAGAAAGTCATGAAACATACTATAGTTAATTATTTAATTTTTAGCTTTGAATCTTCGAGCTTTATAGTGACATTTGGAACCATATAGGAGTTGATAATAACCTCATAATATCCCGATTGGATGCACTATTATTTGAGTAATTATGATCGAATAACTTATGTAATTATTGTGTCAAATATTTAATTATATTTTGTTTCTTATTCTCATATTCATTTATCGTATTATAAAAGTCCTCAAGTATATTATCACTAGGCATTTGATTTAACTTTTTTTAGATTTGATATTAAATTGAATCGTCCGAATTGATTTGCTAACTTAAGCATCGAAAACAACTTATCAAGTATGACCTTTAATATAATTTTATAAGATCCATACGCGTACATTCAACACCCTCACTTTATATCTACTTGTGATATATTCGATAAAAATCATGATTAGATTCAAATTATCTTAATAATTAAAAATTATTCATTATTATTTAAAAGAATGATCTATTAAAGATTTGATGAATTATATGATTTATATACATTCCAATGAATCTAAACTAATTTAAATATTTGGACCATCATCAACAAAATCAAAAGAAAAACTCACCATTTATAGCAAAAGAAAATGAATAAAAATAATGTATAACTTTCACCTTCATCTTCCTCCTCCCATGGAAGAACTTACCATCTACTTCAGGTCAGCAAAAGAAAGACTATATAATCATGAACTATGGGCCCATCTGCATCATCACATCACATCACACTCAGCATGTTTCTTGTGCAGAAAGAAGTGGATGATTAGCTTATGAAAGCTTTTTGTCACCTTCTTGAAGATTTCCCAAAGTTTGAACTCTTCATGATTGCTGAACAGTCTGCAGAACACAGATGCAAATATAAGCTTTCTTGTGCATATGGAAATGCAAGCTTACATGAACACCAATACACACACTAATTCTCATCATTCATATCTCTAATATCTTTACTGTTAGGAAAAAAAGGGAACACAAACAATATGTAAAATTTTCTTCCTTTTTTTCTATTATCATTTTCTACTTTGATCATTTGTTCCACTTTTATCGGTTTTCTCCTGACTGAATAAAGTAAGAAAATAATATTTATCAGAATTAAAATAATATCGGTGGGAGAAAAAACTCAGTTTTAGTTTTCTGTTTTTTGCTTGAAATGATTATGGGTTATCGACTTTTCTTTCTTTTTTTTCAAATGATAAACGATGAGGATGTAAATAGTTTAAGTGTTAATCAATGAAACTAATTGATATTCTCAAAATTTATTGGATAAGGTTTTCGTTAAGATATATTCCTATAGAATGAGATATCGATAATTCAGAGTCAATATTGGATTCTATCGGAGCCACTCTCGAGTTGATCTTAGAAGCCAATTAGGTTCGACGAGCGATCGTATAAGAACTACATTGGTAGAGTGCTTGAAGAGAGTTTCTAAAGTTTGCGAACTTGAAGTTTTTGATAATCGTCGAAAGCGAAGAATTAATCTTCGATAAAAATTTTACCAAACGATCAAATATTATTGAGATGGAAAGAGTCATATGAATTGTGAAGCGTTATACTAATATCACAATGATGATCATGTGGATCGACATGTCGTATGTATTTTATCCGATTCAAATTCTTAATTTTTGATAAGTAAATACGATGTATCATCATGATTAATATTTATTTTAGGTATAATTGATTTTATAATTACTTAAATTCGATTTTAATATTTACTTTTTCGTTATAATCTAATAATAAATAATACCCTTATAAATTTTGTAATATTTAAATCTGAACTTATCGAATTACCTAAATATTGCTGCCTATTTGTGCCTCGGTCGGGTTCATCGGAACCGAACACCGGTCGATGCGCGGTCGAGCCGGACCGGGCGTTTAGAACCACCACCTTGGCCTATCATGGGCTACGCCACGGATCTTAAAGCCAATCCGACGCATCTTATCGAATTCCCCCCCTTGGCTATTTAAAGAGCCCGCATATTTCCCTGAGGACGAAACGGCCCACCGACATTTCAAGATTCCTCCTCGAGAACATGAGCTCGAGGACCATAGCATTCCAAGATTGACGAGGGTAAAATAGTCCATCAGACGATCTCCCGCCCTGTTGTGGCTCCCACGGAGGAAGAGATGGGGCGCGCCGCAGTCTCCGACGCGGAGCCCGGCACCGACTGCCCACCGCCGGACCCCAACCCCAATCCCCGGGCGCGGCGCCCTCCGGTCCGCGGTCTTCGCCCTCGCCCATTTTCGCTTGAAGGCGCCGCGATGGCGAGGAAGAAGGCGGAGTGGGAAGCGGCGTCGTTGCTGCAGCGTTTTAAGCCTTATCCCTACCTTCCCTTCCCATTCCGAACCCCGATCCCAAACCTTCATCTTGGATTTAATGATGATCTTGGCCGTGGGGTTCACCCATCCCCGCCGAGAGACACTCCGCCGACGGAGGGAAGAGCGGCTTGTAGGCCGCAACAGTTTCGGCCGAATCCAAACCTTGGTCTCGAATCCCATGGCTTGGCGCAGCCGCCTCCGCGTCCCAATCTTGGCCGTGGTTTTCGCCCATCGACGCCGAGATACCCCGTGCCAGCGGAGATGAGAGCGGTTTGGAGGCCGCGACAGTTTCAGCCGAATCCAAACCCTGATCTTGAATCTCATGGCTCAGAGCAGCCGGGTCCGCGTCCCGATCTTGGCGGTGGCCTTCGCCCATCGCTACCGGGGGTGCCTCCCGGCTTCGAAGCGGAAAAGTTAGCGGTGTGGCGGAAGGCCTTACGACTTTGGGAGCTCACACTGAAGCATGAATCACGGTTATCTCTTCCACCGCCGCTTGCGTTCTTTCTGCCCTAACTTGGTGGATTTTTGTGTTCTTGCCGCTTTCATTTCTTTTATTGTCTTGTCAATTTTGCGTTTGTTGTCCCAACTAAAAAAGATCAGATTTTATTTACGCCCGTCGCTTGCATTTGTTGTTCACATTTAGAGTAATTATTTTTTCTACCATTTCCTGCTAGTGTTCTTTGGTTCACTGCTTCTGTATCAGTTTGCTGATTGCTGTTTCCATATGAATCAGTCTGGCTTATACTTTCATGTCTCAGAAATATGTGTTGATGTTCTTCTGATGTGAGTTAAATACCAGCAGCAATTGATCTTTGTACTTTCTTGAATAATTTCATGGTACTAACATAAACCTGCTTGTAGGGAGATGATTGATGAGGTAGAAAGCCAGAGGCGGGAGCTTAGGCATCTTGCTGAGCAAACCCTGCAGGTTATATACACTTCTTTGCCTTTGTCTATCATTGTCCTGAATGTTTAATAGACTTCATGTATGTGTATCAACACAATTTCTGAGCGTGCAGCAAACGTTTTCTGTATCTCCTTAACATTTTTTCTGTCAGAAATTGGGCCCTTGCAGTGAGAAGTTCATCCACATGTACTATGATCTAATATGATCTGATTCTTACATCCACTAATTCTTACAAGTATACACTGGTCCAGTTTTCTTGACACACACTGAATATTGTCCATATGACCTGATCATGATCCTTATTTTGGTACGGATGGCAAGGCCCATGTACTATGTAATATCCAAGGATCTTCCGTCTGGATTAGTTTATTGGTACATCCTCTTGTGGCGGCTATTATGTGCGAATACCACACATGCTACTCTCTGCATGTTGAAGCCTCTGAGATATAGAACTTACAGTTATAACACAAGGCTCTGTGCAAGTCCGATGATCAATTTTAGGTTAGTGAAGTTTGTGTTAGAAGATGAGGCACAAAGATGGCAGTAATAGTAGAGTCTAAATCATACTCTGCTTCTCAAAATGCAAGGAAAGCAAGAATATGTGACACAAGATTACAAGTGTCGGTTTATTTTCTAGCTGTTTGCCCTCCATAATATGGAGCTAGAAAATGGTATGAATCACCCTTTTACTTGAATCAGTTTATCTTATTCGCTTTTCCGCTTAATATGTTTAGTCTACCAAATGATCCATCACTAATCACCATCTCTTGGTGACTACAGAGGTATACGTCTATTTCCATTCTCTGACCACTATGTTGATCGGTGTTCTATTTTCCCTTAATAAAATGGATCCAAGAATTGCAGATTAAGTATAACACCTTGTAAATTTTTTGATTTATTCATCCACCATACTTCTCGTGCCATTTTTTTTAGTTAAGTGGATTGAAGCAAAACTGGGTTAGAGGAAGGAAATTAGGTTATACATTATTGCAAGTTACAGTGAACTATTTGGATCTTGACAGCGCAACTGATGTTTGTGACCTCATGGGAACTGCTTGATACTCTTCGGTTTTTATCATTATGAGATATCCAGTATAACCATTATTTTTAATATCATTCAAGTCCGAGATGTAGGGGCTGAAACTTCAGAGCTTGACATGGCACGGATTAAAAGTCATCTAGGAAGGGAACTGTCAAGATGACTGTGCCTTTGACTGTGTTTAGAAGTGTTGACTTAAAGACAACATCCAAGCTGTCAGTCTTTTTCGCAAGAAAAGACCATGCTCTGAGTTCTGCTCAAAATATTCTTTTGAATTTGAAGTTTGGACTTAACACCCAAACTTAATAATGGATTGCTAAGTGTCAATTTGGATAGTTTGCACATGACAAGTCGACTGTTGTTTGATCCATTAGGTTGTTATTGCTCAGCCTGATCAAAATGAGTTAAGTGGTGTTTTGTTCATTACATACAAGTTTGAATTATTTGATGGGCCAACAAAAATTAAACTAAAGATGTGTTTATGATCGGATGCCACTCTGTGTATGTAAACAGTATTTTTTTTTTAATCACGAGGAGAGGGTGAGGATTGTGTATGTGCTATACGGTATATAAATGACATGTGAATAATGTGGTATGTTTTCTACGCCATATATTCTTTATTTTGACATAAATGCTGATTTACCGACATGTCCAATCTACTATCAAGGGCGTCGATTTGTTATTACATTTTCCCTATCGCATGCCCATATTGATTACAAATTGAGAAATTGAAAATTTGGCTCCTCTTTCCAGATTAGCATAATTAAGTTGTAAGTTTTCGTATTATGCACCTTGATCATCCATTAAGAAGCCTAGATTTCTTTTACAATCATGCTGGTTTGTATCTTCAAAAGTATTAAGTTGGCGACTAGTTCAAAATTCTTGTTTGCTCTACCTTTGGCCCGCTTGTTATTGTTCTCCTTTATATGCTGGCGTAAATGACTGTCTATCAGATTTGCACCATCGTCGTCGTCGAACGTATGACAGGAGTTTTCTTTTGCTTTGTAGGGACATCGAGAAAATTCAAATGCTGGAGAAGTTACATGGAACAATTTGACAACTTGTCTGAATGGAATTATGAAGGCAACAGAAGTTGTTATGTGGTCATATTTGATGGTTTGTCAAAATCCATTCCCTCAACAAGTACTTAGGACTGCTCCTTATGTCGATCCTGCGTGTACGAATACGAGGAGTATTGATCCCACTCATACGAGTCGAACATTCTCTGAGCATGTCGAGCTTCCGAGTGAGCCCTCTGATTTCATGATCGATCAAGTTTCCAGATTTGAGAAGCAACTGAACAAGTGTCACCAGTGGCTTACAAATTTGCATCGACTGCTTATGGCGGGTGCTAGCCAAACATCTGCACATTTGTTGCCTGTTTTCAGAGACGGCCATAATTTCCTCGTTCAAGTCGGCGACCAGGTGAGACCCTCAAGTGTCATTCATACGAATTCCTCATTAGGTTTTGATCACATAATCTTTGTTAACTGTCCCGCTATCGTTTCTTTTTAATCAAATTCGCTTTGTATCTGCTGGAACAAGCCATTTTATAGTTGGATAGCATAAAAATGTCAACTGGAAATGTTCCCGGTTCAAGAAAGTTCAATCCTCTACTTATACGTCAACTTTCATCGCCTATGTTGGTTGCTGTTAATTCTTGTAAGTGACTTTAGAACTAGAATGCATATAACGACTTGGATCTTGTCTGTTCCAGGTGGACGCACTTGATAGAGTGAGTCGTCAGTTGATAAACAACTTGGATTCCGTGCAGTCAAGATTTCGGCGATGAGCATCAAAAGAGTGATCCAGATGGATTTCTTTTCGAGGAAATCAGGAGATCAATGTCCAACGTTATCGAAGACCAATCTGCTGCCGAAGATGTTCATCCAAGCTTCTTCAGTACTCCAATGCCATCATACATGGGTACAATTTCTTCTTCTTCTTCTTCTTCTTCTTCTTCTTCTGTGTCCGCCGCTCCCACGTCTCCCTCGTGGGCAAGCATGTTTAAATCTTCTGATTCTTCCAGCTGACCGGCATGAATCTGAGCTTCCCCCACACCTCTGTATGCAACCGAACCAGTTGGTGTTTCTTGTGTTGGGGTTTGTAACTGGAGCTTCTCCATCGTTCGACTTCATTCTCGATGTTTGGCTCTTCAATTTTCTCCACACCTTCACATGCTTAGCCATGTGGTCGGATAAAACCCGTTTTGTTGACCACGACTGACTCGACTCGGATTTAGCTGAGGCTGATGTCGGAGTTGACCGATCCAATTATCGACCGGCTCGGGTAGGCCCGGCCCGGCCCGGCCCACGCTACACCTCTATCACCTTTCTCTCGGTTCCCATTTGCTCCCGCTGACCACCTCTTTGGTCTCATTCCCTCGATCGATGTCTCGCGTCACCAAACGCTCTTCTTTTCCTGGCTGCTATCCAGTCATGCTTGCTTGCTAGGGTTTAACTCCTTCAATCCGCCGGGCAGAATCTAATCCGTTCTTCGATCTCAAGATGATCGCCTCGGCCAATTCACTGCTGCCGCCGCCGACGTCGTTTCTCCCCTCGGTCGGCAATTCCCCGAATTTCTCCCGTGCTACGAGGAGATTCCTTCGGATTAAGGCTGCTTCCGCCAGCTCCGATGAGAACCGTTCGCCGTCAGCGAAGGGGAAGAGCCCTCTGGCGGCCGTCCTGGAGGTGCCGAAGACGCTGTGGCGGCAGACGATGCAGCCGCTCGGCGACTTCGGGTTCGGGTGGAGGAGTGTGTGGGAGGGCGGGGTCGGGCTGTTCATCGTCTCCGGGGCGGCGCTCTTCGCCCTCGCTATGGTCTGGCTACGGGGGATCCAGCTGCGGTCGCGGTTCAGGAAGTATCAGGTGGTGTTCGAGTTCTCGCAGGCGTGCGGGATCTGCGTGGGCACCCCCGTCCGGATCCGTGGGGTGAACGTAGGCAACGTGGTGCGGGTCGATTCCACCTTGAGGAGCATCGACGCGATTGCCGAGGTGCGTGTGCTTGCATGAGTCTTTCAAGCTTTGCATAGTGCTTGAGGCATGAGCATTACCTCTTTAGTAGCTAGCTCAATGATTTTGGACTGCTTGACATATATGTGCATATGAGTTTCACTGTATAGATAGATGTCCACCATTCAACAGGTTCAAAGAGGAAGATTTAATACATTAGTGTAATCTGATTTTTTGTTGAATTATTGGTTGAATATTTGGTGAACCAATGAATAATTGATTAAACGCAGGAGGAAAACTGGGAACGATTTGAAAGTTGGCTTTTTTCTTGTGCAAATTGCAACAATTTTGGAACACACAAATAATGTTGTGGTGTCATGGGATGAGAGTGATAACACATATTTGCAGTAAAATTATTGTTTCCGGATACACACGGACGACTTCTAGAAATGATATTACCGTCTGATAATCTTTATAATCTTTCAATTGGATACTGATTAAAAGTTGCATGTTTTTTATGTTCATTGTGATGGAAAGTTCTAATTAACCGTGTTGCTTCCCAGTGAGTAATATTAATACCTTTCTTATATTTCACTTCACAGCAATGTTGTAGTTTGTTTCACCAAAGGTTTGAAAACGAAACGGACCGGATGCATACCAATTGAAATTTATTGGTTCGAGTATTCATATCCACAGTCTTCCTACTATTGTCTCTTCGTCCCTCCCAAATCCACTCTAGGAATCTTGTTATTTTTCCAAATCAAAGTAGGCTTGTATCTTCCTAATATGTTAAGCTAATATTTTTTGCTTATCGCATGATGTTCAGGACCTATTTATTTCTTGGATTACGTGTCATTTTGTGTCACTGTATTTATGTTTTTTGGTTTGAAGCATGCCATAGGTTTCTCATTCATGCTATATATGCTGAAGATCTAGGGGTAGGCTAGATAATGTGGATCAATATCTCCTAGATCCATATGATTCCTTTTTGGATCTGTGCTAATTAGGCCTACATCCACATACATCTAGGATAGATGTGCATTGATGCAACATAAATTTGAATAGATCTTACCTACAGAATTGTATGTCTAGGCTATCATCAGGCAGATATGACTTAGATATATGGATCTAGCCTAGATTCATATGAAACTAGCCTATTTTCATGTGGATTTAGTTTAGCAGTGTGAGGATTTGGTTTATGCTTGCATAGGTCTAGGTTGTATCCATGTTGATCTACCTAAATTTACACAGATCTAGTTACACAGATCTGGCGTTGATCCCACGCAGATCTGGTCTATATTCACTAAGATCTAGTTTAGCTATGAGGATCTGATGTAGATCCATATGGAACAGTAATTCTAGATTGCATTTCCATTACATAAGGACAAATTAAATTATGTACTCGAACTCATTTTCAGTGGTTGTATGAAAATGACGTGGAGGTAGTAAAGTACGGATTTGTCATCGCGGCTGACCTTCACATTGGAGCACCAACCTGATTCACAATCCGTCTAGTGTTGCCTATGTTAGTTGTGATGGAGGAATGATAATCTCATTGGTGTTTTTCATGTTTCATTATGAGGCAGCATAGTGGCAGTAATGCTCATGATCTATGAGGGAGTATTAGTTTGTGACATTCTAATGGCAATGGTGCTTGTGAGATGTCAGAAACGCTAGAATGAGGCAGTCAATTTTTGCCCAATCCTGAGTGGGGAGGTTAGGATTTCTTGAGCACCTTTTGTAAGAGGCCAATTCCTAATGATATTGATCTGCCCTTTTAAATTGTAGAACTGATCAGAGTACAATCAGATCTCAGGATAATCACTTCATATCTTGATGAAGTGATCAATGAAATTTGCAATTGAATGAAGTCCTTCAAGAAATAGTGAGACTTATATGGTGTAACCCTTATGTGCAAGGGTTGGTCTAGTCCTAGGATAAGCATCATAAATTTCTTATTGTATTGTAACTGAAGGATCATTTTCACAAATCCATTGATGCATCAAATCAGATTCACAACGCATGATGCATACAGATTTGATGGGTACTGTGATAGATGAGATTGGAGAGCACTACATAGTCCAGTGATGACTGATAATGGTGCTAATATCAAGATGACCAATGTAGATGATGGGGGCACATGTTCATTTTTTTCAAAACACCATGTGGGATCCACTGTATTAGACCTAATGATGATGGCAACATCTTTTGCCATGAAGAGGATCGTGGAGAGATCTAAGTCTTTCCTCTATATCATTGATCTCGACACTAAATTGTTCGAGTACTTACGTATTACAGATTAAGGAATGACATTGTTTTTAAATTTTATGTAATTGTACTATGTGAAGTTGTAATAAACATTAAACAATTGGCATGGTGTGGGTTACCACCTTAATCCTACGTATCAATATCAACATAACCTTGTAATCGAAGATGACTGGTTGTTTGTTCTTCAAAATGTAATCACTTGATGGAACTTGGAAGCAGACATCTCAAATGTAGTTGATGCGATCAACAAGATATATAGTTATCTTATCTTTTAGTACAATCTTTTAATTTTAAAAACATGAAAAGTTAATTTATTGACCTACCTCTAAGGGTGACAATGTCATGATGGTTCTGACACATTCAGAAGGGATACTTAACATTATGTTGATACGATATGGGTTATAGTAACACATGATTGTGTAATTTTTATCATGTTACGATCAATCAAGCATGTTATTGGAGCTAATTGTTTGATTGCAAGTTTGTAGCTGAGTGGTAATTGGATTATGAAAGATCGATACTTGAGGAAACTTGCAGTGTAGCATCTATCATAGGCCATATTACCTGGCCGTTGTGATGGTAACTTGTCTATGTTTTTGTTGATGTGCACCACACAAGGATTAGAGAAATTACATCCACTATAGCATGCATATGAGATTGCAATACCTAGAGTTGGAAAGAGATGGGGGATGCCCATGAATCCATTTGACACTGAATGTTACCGAGATAATCGGGCCTAATGATTGATTGGGTATGTGCAACAAGGAACTAAGACAACCAACTTTTTTTTTCCAAAAGGGTAAGTGGCGAAGGCGGGATTCAAGCCCAGGACCTTGCGATAAACTATCAAGATCTTTATCAGCTAGGCTAGCTAACACCTTCACTAAGACAACTTCTCAATTAGCTAGGATATTCACCATGTCTTTTATTTTTAAATAGACAGAGGAGAAAGACCAATTCAAGGACCTAGGTCAAACATGTGAATTATATACGGGTTATAGGCAAGTCGTTTGTGGGTCGGAGCCCCGTGAGTTAGTCTCAATCAGCCGACCAACATGACAAGAGAAATGGTTTCTAATCGTACTCAATTGATTCATTGCATCGAGTAATAATAAGAAGGATGATGGGACTTCTCCATCAGATTTTGATTTTTGTGAGGTATGTTATTGTAACAATGTGGTGAATCATAACAAATTTATTAGTTACCCTAGGTCCCTAGTATGGGGACATAAACTTTTGTGGACTGAGTAATATTATACCCATAAAGGGCATACCTAGTTTTCAAGGCTCCTACTAATGCAGGGTTTGGGAAGAGCCAAAGTATTCAGCCTTTAAATATTAAAAGAGGTTGCTTTCGTGGCTCGAACATAGGTCTTGTATGTCACAAAGAAGCAACCTTACCATTGTATCAATGCCTACCCTCAAATGATGATCTAATGTCATATCATCGGTCAAATTAGTTCACAACCAGTACATTGAGGGCAAAGGGAAGACAATTTATGGCTTTGAGGAGATGAGAAACTTAATTGTGATCAAATTGCACAGAAGATTGTTGTGATGGAAGCTCTCTTAATTTTGTGAGGCACAATTCAATGTGGATGGTTGATCCCAATTTTTGAGAATCCAAAGCTTCATATGGCACACAGTGGTGATGTGGTGTGGTAGTTCTACAGCTCAGCTGCTATCATGGTTGCGTAAATTAATGCTAGTCATATTTCATCGGCCCCATTACAATTGTATGTATCCCACATCGTCAGATAGTGGCTAATACCCTGGTCAAGCTAGAGGCCAAGCTGCCACAAGTATTATTACTATGATTTAACAGTAACATGTATATATCAATATCAGATGTCGTGGGAACAATATCATACATGGACGTATCAACATTATACTATTGATCTCTGACTAATATGGACATAGTAGCCGCCTACTTCAGCATGAGTCCATGACAGTCCTTTTGGTGGTAGTACCATTAATAAGTTATGACTTAAATCTTCTAAGTCCATGTATTTACAAAATTTAAATTATAGTTTTATAATACATTTATCATGTGCCATCTTCTTCGAATTCTGGAAATTTTGTACGTGTGTTCTTTACATATGATTAATATTAGGTCTTATATACATTTTTTCATTCATTGTCGAGACAAAAAAAAAAAAAACCTACAAAACAAGGTTTCATAGGGAACCACTGGGTCTGGAACCAGCTAATAACCATATATCTGACAATTGACCAATATTAGTACTGGCCTGAGATTTTAGTCATTGGTTTGCACTATTCTGGTGTAGCTAAGCAGAATTAGATTAATTGTGTTGGTAGCTAGTGTTAAATTTTGTAGTGTTTCATGTTATGAGAAGGTTTAAAACGTTTACCATCATCATAAACTGAAATGTAGTAGTTGGTTACCGGAATCTCAGAAGTTCGTCGTTTGTTTTACACAACTTTCAACATCTGAAAAGGTGGGTTACTGATGTGGCTGCAATTTTTACATGTAACATGATGCCTTTTCATGAAGAAATATTGTTGTACACAGAACTGTCTGTATCTGAGCTTCTTAGGTTTGTTGACTCAATTGCAGATTGAAGACTATAGCTTCTTTGACCTTCTTCTTGTCAGGTTGATGATGACAAAATTATTGTACCTCGAAATTCATTGGTTGAAGTGAATCAGTCTGGCCTTCTTATGGAGACCTTGATTGATATTACGCCAAGGGATCCGCTGCCTGAACCTTCTGCAGGTCCTCTTGATCCTGATTGTGCCGAACAAGGCCTAATTGTGTGCGACAAAGAGAAGATCAGAGGACAGCAGGGGGTAAGCTTGGATGCATTGGTAGGTGTGTTCACCCGTCTTGGACAAGAAATGGATGAAATTGGTATTTCGAGAAGCTATAGATTGGCTGAAAAAGTTGCATCTGTTGTAGAAGAGGCACAGCCACTTCTAGCAAAGGTCTGTAGAAAGTTACTTTTTTGTGTTACCTTATAAGTGCATGGTGATTCTGCAAATTGGATATGTTTGATGTCCTCATCTTGTGTTATCCATCACTTATATATGATAACCAAGGCTCCTCACTTCTTCTATCAGATGTTAATCTAGTTTAGTTAGTATTATGATATTTTTTCTTAAATCACTCATGTGATCATTCTACATGAGATCTTAAAAACATGAGGTTTGCCTTTTCTCTTAGATTTCACTGGACAGTTCTCATCATATATGTTGATACTTTTTTGATGTTTGGAAACGATGTTGTAACTGGTAGTTTCACGCGTCCAATCTTAATATTAGATAATGAATCAAGAACAGCGGTGTTGTCTTACGCCTGAGTAAGGTAGCTCTAAGTCTTTATGGCTAAAGCCATGTAGAAAGTATAGTGGCTTTTGAATGTCATTTAATTTTTTTCTGGTAGTTCATGATATCTAAGCAATCTTTGTGCGTGTGAACCAAGGGTGTTGTGCACCTAATACTTTAAAGTTTGCTACACCGACATGAAGTTTGAATAACTTCATTTATAATCTTGATTTTCATTGCATTTGTTTTTGCAGCTTTTTGGTTGTTGTTTTTATTTTGTTATCCTATTCACCAATAAAAAATCAATTTTAAGTTTGTTTTCTTAAATATGAAGAATTTGTAGTAGTGATGCAACAGGTTGAAGGCTTGGCTGAAAGTATTCAACCTTTGCTTGCTGAAGTACGTGATAGCACTCTGCTGCAGGATGTGGAAAGTTTAACCAAAAGTCTAGCCGAGGCAACTGATGGTTTAAGGTATAACCTTTTAAAATCATCGACATAAGGTAGCCCGTCCATTATAAATATTATCAACTGATTGAATAGATATGGAAATACAGATTGCTATTGATATAACATATTAACAATCCTTATACTGTAGTTATGGTAGCAGTATAAGATTTGTGTTTAGATGGTTCTTGTTTACAACTATTAACTAAAATGAGCTGCGAGTGCACAATTCCCTTGCCATTGCTGGGATTGGGGCAATCAAATGCATGCAGCTGTATTCTTGCAAGGAGACTCGCTCATAAAATGTGTTTTGGAGATCTGCATATTGTATGGATAAAAATAATTTACTTAATTTAAAAGGATCCTTTGTTTAAGAGATAAAATCTTGATATGCTCTCTTTATACTTTTGTCATGTTGATCTGTTTTTGAACTCTTTACTCGTGTCCCAGACTTCCAAGTTTGGTACATCCAGAATAGATTTCAACAATTACAACAAGGCTCTGAGGATTAACTATTAGCTTGCAGAATAGGCTTAATTTAGTTTCAGTTCACATAGATTCTGTGAAGCACTAATGCAACTTATTTCAGGAGATAAGCTAACTAGGTTAAAGAAGCTAGCATCTGATCTTGGATTAAGCAGAATCTTACTCCATGCTTTTTGCTATGGCTTGTCTCATATGCTGGTACAGATCGATTTCTGGATGAGCATGACAGGCTAGAAATTGATTTATTTTGCTTTAAACTTCAGTGTTCTTCTCATACCTTTCTAACTTGACAGTTTCTAGTACCTTGTGGTTGCACCTGAAACCTATATTTCCTTGGAACTTAATCCTTCAGTCAACTTGATGATCCTCAGAAGGTTTATATTTGAGGGAGTTGGTAGTTTGTGATAAAGTTGGAGGCCTATTTATGTTTATTTTTTTTCATCTTTTTGTACTTGTCTTGATTTGCAGATTTTATTATTTTTGGTTATGTTTAATATTCTGTTATGTTAATTTAGATAGAAGCTAAGGTTTAGGCTATACAATAAAAAACCTTTCTTCATGAGGAACCTTGCTTTATGTCTACAACCTTGGAGTTTTATGTGCCAGGCATGCACATCTATCCTCACCAACTTTTGTCATCTTGTAGGAAGGTTCAGTCTGCCATCCTAACTCCTGAGAATGTTGACCTAATTAGGCAATCTGTTTACACCCTCATATTTACCTTAAAGAATATTGAGGTGAGGCATCCTCGCTCTCTTTCTGAGCCCTATTTCTTAACGACACAGTCCTTGTAATTACTACTTGTGTTTTCAGAGTATTAGCTCAGACATCTCGGGCTTCACGGGCGATGAGACTACAAGGAGAAATTTGAAGTTGTTAATCAAGTCTCTCAGCCGGCTTTTATGATCATTGCAGAAACCAGGTTTTTCCTCGGCTCTATCTTATGGAATTTTCAACAATGAATATGTTTGAGGAAGGCGGAAATGAGTACGTAAAACAGTATCTCAAATCTGTCTCGACGTTCAGTATCTCATATCTGTCATTCAGAGAGATGCATCAGATACTACAATCAAAATTTTTTTTTTTTTTCAAAGAATGAAGTTTTGTCGGATGATGAGTCATCGTCCAGCTTCCCCCATCTAGTTACCTTTCTTTTATCATGTCATTTAGTCAAATTGTTGAACTATTGATTTCATACTCTGCTTTGGAAATCCAGATTTTTAGATGTATTTTTTAAAAAAATTAGAAAATGTTTGACTGTAACAATCATAGTTATGTAGATCTTTGTTTCCTTAGCGATGTCACCACTGTTTCACCGTCTTCTTCACAGGTTGCGGGAATCAAACAGTACCCTAAATATCATGCTTGGAATATTAATTCAGCCCAGCCCAGCTTAGGTTGTGATTATTGTATTCTTTGCTGCTTCAGTATGTGTCAGTGAGTTCTGCAGGTGCCATTCCCGATCTCTTTGAGATGTTGATTTTTTGTGTCCTAGGATTCATGCATTCTTCTTGATCTCGAGCTTCACACCTGCTTTATGGGTCTTCTTTTGATCTTGTGTTCATGTGTTGGCCCGTCACCATGATTATGGTGCCATGCACCAACCATGCTGCTCCCATCACAAATGGTTGCCTTTTACTATCCATCTTCTCGCTGAGAAATCTGCCACGGAAACGTTCCCCAAGACAGGATGATCTTCTAATTATGCAACCAAGTAAAACGGTCGTTTACATGCCACCCTCTGTCATCCGATGGGATGAGATGTTCCATTTCCGGTGCGTTCTTCCTGACAAGAACGAAATCGAGCGTCCCCTTCCGACACCGCCTTTGGTGTGTGGGCCACCATTGCGCTTTATCCACGATCGGAGCCAAAAGTGTGGGCCCTCGACCACTTTGACTGGTTACCCTTTTTCCCACCGCCTGACGCGTGTCATTCCATCATTTCATCCATAATAAGTTCCTTCGGACTAAATTTGCTTAGCTGATTAATCTCTAGTTAGTTAGCCGATCAAACTATACATCCATAAATGTAGCATTTATGCCATTGATTAGAATATCTAACGTTAATTGGCAAATTAAGTCTGTCCATCAGTAGTCGGGGGTGCATGGAATGACCAGACGTGTATGAACTTCCAGTCTAAAAGACATCATAAGATTCACATAGAACAGTGATTGATACAGAGGTGTAGGTACAACATCATTTGATTGCAGTGGCTTTATGGGGGTGATGAGCGACCGGTGATTCACTGCATCATCAGAATGTGATGATCGATGGAGGATGGATGGTATAGGTGGTTTCTCTGAACCGAGGACAAATCTTGGGTCATGCATGCATGCATGGTGTGTGTCCTCTCCCTGTCAGAGAGGAACTCCATGAAACCTTCTCTGCTTCTGCAGCAAGACAATTATGAGCTCATATGTATCTCACCATAAATTCTTCATTAATTGTTTCTTCTTGTTCTAAATGCCAAGTCGTTTGCCGCCTCATCGATGATGAGATGCAGATGTACATTACTTACTTACTGATCATCATCCTCTGCACGGGGTAGAATGTTTCTTTCGAGTTAGGAAATCTGTGTCTTGGCAATTTTATGTTTCTTCATCCGGACTGGTGCAGAAGAAGTGAGATGAGATGGAGAAGGACCGATCCACCAGCACGACAACCGATGCACGCCACAGTCCACGAACAAACCATTCAAAGATACAGATGTCTGTGGCGGTGTGAAGCCCTAGGAAAGGTGGAGATGCCCGCTGCCGGGGGAGCAAGCTCATGCGCAGGCCCCACCGTGGAACGAATCCCTACCCGAGAAAGAGAGGAGGAGGAGGAGGGAGATGAGAGGAGCGCAAAGGGGGTGCGTTCCCCGGCTCTTGTCAGGTCACGAAATGGTGTCATGTCATTGGGTTGTATCGTGGCAGGCACTGACATGCATGCATGACCGCCTCGGGCTGCAGCTCTGCGGGATGAGCAGCTACCCTCGGCCATTTCTTCGTGCGCCCGAGCTTCCGTCACAGAGCCATGAGCAGGAAAAGAGAGGCCGAAGGGAATCTATCCCTCTTGTCTTTCTCTCTTTCTTTTTCCTCCTTGACCCGTCTGTGATCGCCTTTTGACAGCGACGGAGATGGAGGCCTGAGGCAGGGAACAGTGCTGCCTTCCTCGGCGACGCTAGCTACTGCAGCAAGGTACGGCCCTGGGCGTGGAAACGGGGATGAGTTGATGAGGTGTGGGACGAAGGGTACGGCCACGGCCGAGGGGAATGGGACGAAGGGTCGCTCTCATCCTCGGGCGGCGCGTCCCGATCTCACGGCCGGGTTCCGACGCGCTGCGCCGCCCTGCTTCTTCCGGACGGCACGCGCGCCCAGCGTACCCTACACGGCCAACGGTAGCGCGCCGGGTGCGTCGGGAACGGAGCAGAATCCAAACGAGCGCCATCTGCGGGCGGCCCCGGCCGTGCATGCATGCACGCCCGCACGTCGTCGTCTCCATCCACTTCGCCGGTGTAACAGTCGCTGGAGGAGGCGGTGGGGCACACACCCCTCAGCTTGCGTGAGTCGTGACAAAGAGTAGGTGACGGTGGGCCGACGCTCGATAAGCTATGCGTCATCTAACAGTCAGTCACAAGAGAACAGAGACACGAACAAGAAGATCGATATCTTAAACTTAATAGCCACACTTAACGCAACACAAGGGGGCGAGCGTTCTACCGACAGCATACATACGTCGATCAAGCTATGCACACCGACGTGAAGGAAGAAGGAAGGAAGACGAGTGCGATGCGCGTCTTCCCTTCTCTCTTTACCGACGCGTCGTTGCATGGCAGCCGTACACACACGTCTCCATACATCGATAGACGCGTGGAGCGTATCCTCCTTTGCACGGTTTTCCGAGCACTCAGGCTGCCTTCCCTGTGCCCGTAATCATCATCATCATCATCTTTGAACACCTTCCAATGGCCCATCTCTCGTTCCAACGTCATCTCATTCCATTCCCGTTATATTATACTGATTCACGCTTTCCAGATCATCCCCTCCCCCGCCAGCCCTAATCTTTGATCGGATCAGCACGACCATAAAGAAGCCTGTGACTGATGTCACCGAGAGAGTCGGATGGATTGCTGGGAAGACGATGATGATGGCGTTCCAATTTATCCCTACTACCGAGGAACATGACAAGATGCCCACTGTCTCCCTGCTTTTTCCAACCTCGCTCTCTCTTAGACTAGCGTTACAGGAGCCATATCTATACAAGTGGTGGTGCTTCCAACCTCAATAATTAGTGCTTCCATGTTGTCTTTGACTAAGATCTCCACATCCTCAAAGCTGAACCATTTGCATCACTGACACACAAGTATTTTTGGTTTTCTGCAAACATCTGATGCACCCATTTAATCTTTTTACCCATTCCATCATTGTTACCACAAAGATTTGCTGCAGTAAATTATTGAGTGTGATCTAAGGTGATGGATAGATAGATAGATAGTCATTATTGCACCTAATAATATTTTACTTTAAGTCCATGCCCACCAAAACTTGCTTTTGCCTATATAACCCCTCCGCTGCTCCTTTGCTCACTTCCCTGCATTCGACATCTGAGAACTCTCCAAAGCCGATTCCCCTTCCCATCTCTTCTTCCCATACTCTCCCATCGCCAACTTTTCTTAGCTTTGAATCCTCTCAAAGCGAGTAGATTTCCTGTTTCCCTCCCTTCGCTTTTGCTTTGCCTTCTCCTCTGCAAGGAGTAAAGATGATCCAAGGATTGCTAGGTGGAAGCATGGAGGAGAGGAAGCTATCTCATGCTGGAGGCCTTCTGATCCACCCCTCCTCCTCGGTCTCTCCCGCCTCTTCCGTATCCTCTCAGTCGCAGTCGTCGTCGACGTCGTCGCTGTCGTCGGCCACTGCCGAGAAGCAGCAGCAGCAGCAGCAGAACCTCCGGTGCCCGCGGTGCGACTCCACCAACACCAAGTTCTGCTACTACAACAACTACAACCTCACCCAGCCGCGCCACTTCTGCAAGACCTGCCGCCGGTACTGGACCAAGGGTGGCGCCCTCCGCAACGTCCCTATCGGCGGTGGGTGCCGCAAGACCAAGGCGGCGCCCGCCATTGCCGCGGCCGGGGCTGGCGGTAAGTCGGCAGGCGCCACCAAGGCGAAGCCGGCGTCGTCCGACCTCCTTCTGAGGTCGGCCCTGACGGCCGGGCTGGAGACCGAGCTATCGAGGAGCTCCATACTGTGGGCTTCACCACATACTTCCCACCTGATGGACCTTTTGAGGTCCGCCACCACCATCCAGAACCCTAACCCTAGCCTCAATTCTACGCCCAATCTTAACCTCAACTCCGGCAGACTCAAGGAGGATAGGCAGTTGCTCGGCGCGCAGACGGTGGCCGAGACAGGAGGCACGCTAAACGCACACGCCCCAAGCTTGGACTCTCTGCAGGGTCAGCTCGGCTTGGGTGCTTCCCTATGGAGGAACAGCAACAGCTACTCGCAGCAGCAGCAGCAAAACAACAACATAGTGTTAGGTGACATGCCGATCTCAGAAATCCAAGACATGTACCGAAGGTTCAAATCCTCCTCCAATTACTACAATGAGCAGTTGGAGACAGCGATGAACAGTGTCGGCAGCTTCGATTCTTCTTGCTCCTCGGTCACCTCCATGATGACCAGTGCCGGTATGGTTACTACTTCTACGACTCCTAGCATGATGGACCCCATCCCACACCCCGTTGGCGAATTCGGCTACTGGAATCAGGCTTTGGCGTGGTCCGATCTACCAACTCCCAATGGTGCAGTATTCCACTAAGAGGACTCAGCTCCTAGCATTTGTGTTTAGGCTTTTGGTGATGGAGGGTTCTACTTTTTCTTGTGTTTTAGTGGGCTTAAAATGCGTGTCTGTTTGTGCTTCGGGATGTGTTGATCGATTAGGCATTGGATGGCATACCGTCTTTCTTTGTCTCCTTCGGAAGAAGAGTGTGTTGGGTTGTGACACAGAGAATTCGAATCGATGATTCAGACATTGGAAGAGAGTAGATTAGTGGGGGGTAAAAGGAGAGGAGATATGATGGGAGGGAGTGCTCGCAGATTCATATCTCCTTCTTGTTGTTGTGCAGTGGGAAAGCGGAGGGATAAAGAGGGAGATGGCAGCCTTTGGAAGGGGGTTGTGGCCTGTACACAGCAGGCGAATTGGATTCTCCCACAACCCAAAACACTGCAGCCTTAACTTAGAGAGAGAGAGAGAGAGAGAGAGAGAGGGCATCTAAATTTGGCTCAACATTTCTATGCTAAAGTGCATTGCAAAGATGATTTCTGAACTTTAACACATCAAATTGATAATTGAATCCGATACTAAAAATGCAAATCTTTTATTGATATTATGCAGATATTAATCTCACGATTTCAGAGATTGTTTGGGGTTATCAACATGTAATAGGATAGGATAAGCACAGAGCAGTCAAACTAGTGCTCAAAGGATTAAGAGGAAACCTGAAGGAAATCCAACTTTCTCAAGTATCTTCCTCTCCAAATAGCTTCATAAACTTGTGCCAAGATCCTCCCAGTGAAGTCCTTTCACTAATCCAAGAAGCATAATTATAGGGTAATCGCATCCATGAACACAAAGCCAAGCATCGCAAGGTTGTCAGGCAACTGCAACTAGTGGGGAGCAGCTACTTGGCTTTCTTGAAGATTGATGACAGTCTCAAAAGCATCAGCTAAGGCCTTAACTTTGCTCTTCCTGGCCTCAAGAAGCTTACTTGCAGTTTCCTTTATCACTTGATTGAGCAAGCTTTGTGTGTCTCTCTTATCCTGCACATCTTGATGTCTCAAAACAATGTTGGTGGCCTCAGATGTATCTGACTCTGCACCATCCGATTCCACTCTTTTTATAGAGCTCCTCATCTGTTTTCCTTCACCATTCTGATTGCCATCCATCAACTTGACCTGCCTGAATCCAAGTCTTTTTGGACTATTGTTTTCGGAGTGAAGGTTGATCATCTTGCCTCTGCTGAAGTTTAACTTGTGAGGAGTCACAACACCATCTTCTGAGTTGACACTAGTACTTCTTAGTCTACTCTTTACTGTGCTTTCTGGAACACCTCTGTAGGTTCTCTGAGTTACTTCTCTGTGCAAATTAGGTTCATTCTCTCCACTCCTTTTAGGACCACATTCCTCACTTTCTCCTTTCCTATCTGGACATGGTTTGTGTTTCCTGAGCTTCTGTTTCAAGGTTTTGAGATATAACTTGTCTGGATTGAACTCGGTTGCAATCATGTTTCTCTCATTGAGACCAAAGCTTCCTTTATGATTCTTCAACTTGTTCACCTCTATCTTTGTTTTGTCACCTGAGCTCAAACTCTTCAATCTTGCTGGATCAGTTGGTTTATGGGTAGCAGATGCTGTGCTCTTCTGAATTGCTGGAGTCTTTAGATTCACGATCGAAACTTCCTCGGATGATACTTCTGCCCGAATGACAGGTCTGCACTCAGCAGATGCTTTGCTGGTGTAATTCTTCGGTGTCAAGCTTGACGGCCCATCAGATGATCCAGGAAGCCTCTTCATCTTGATCTCGATCAGTTCATCATATGATTTGTCTGCTCCATTGGCTGTTTGGTACTCTGCGGACGCAATGTTATCAGTGATGGGAGTTGCAATTATCAACTCGATGCTTCCTTGCTTCACCGACAATCCTTCTGATGGATCTCTACTTTTATGCTCAGAAGAGGCAACACCTTTCTGAATTGCTGATGAAAACATGAACTTTATTCTAACAGGCTGCTCCTCACATGATCCTCCTACCTGAGCCACGGCCGCATGCTCTTCATTTGCAACATCATTCTGCATTCTCTTTCTTTCGAGTCTCGCGGTTACAGGTTCTAGAAACAATCCACTGGATCGATAAGTTGATTCTTGCACCTCAGCTGCAGCGGGCACAGAATCATCAAACGCTTTTTCATCTTTATCAGCAACTGGATGATCAAGAGATGGATCATTTATTTGGTCTTGCGATCCAGCATTACGATCTAAGACTGAGAATTCATGAGCCAATCCTCCTGCCGGATTGGTAGGTGAATCCGGAACCCGAATTATCTTCTCAGATGGCAGATCTGTCTGCTCGATCAATTCGATCTTATTAGTGAGTTCATCTTTTGCATTAACTGAACTTTTCTTCAGCCGCAGTGTCTGCCTTCTTTGTGGTTGAGTCATAAAATTTGATTGACTGTGTTTTCCATCATAAACATGCTTAATTCCATATTTGCAGAAATCATGGCAAGAACCAGTAGAAAGTCTCATGTAATGAGGAAGAAGCTTCTCATCGCTCTTTGAAGGTGGAAAAGCTATGGTATGTGGCTTTCCTGTTGAAGTTGTTGTTGCTACTCTCTTTTCCTTATCATAAACATGCTTAGTTCCATATTTGCAGAAATCATGGCAGGAACCAGTAGAAGGTCTCATGTAATGAGGAAGAAGCTTCTCATCGCTCTTTGAAGAAGATGGTAAAGCTATGGTTTGCGGCTTTCCTGTAGAATTTGTTGTTGCTACTCCTTTTCTCTTATCATCCTCAGAATTTACTGAAATCATAGCTAGCTCTTCACTCATTTGAGGAAGAAATATGATCTGACTTCTACCTTGACTTCTGTAACAAGGTAAACAGGACATTAAGTGCCGAATAAGCTGAAAACCTAGCAAGCAAACTACAAGACGCTCCTTATGAATAATTAGTCACGATATGAATTACAGCATCAACTTATTCAACAAGACATGATTTATTTAGTTCATGGGAGCACAACACCGAAAAATGCTAGAAATATATTTGAGTAAATGAACCGTAATTTCAGCAAAACTGTTTAAAGTCGATTCAAATTGACGATCCTATTCAAACTTTCAGTTAAAACATGATGCAGAAGTAAGAACTTATCTTATATAAGTAGGAGTTAAACAGAGTGTCTGTTCAATGATACAAACCAAACAGAGGCCATATTGACTAATTAAAGCATACGCTGCTAATTTGTAACTTCCCGCACTTCATTGGATTTTATTCCAATTATTTCCTATCATACTCGATTAACATAGGCAATAGAATAGCTGTATGCTTCCAAATGGCATCAAACTCTACTGAATTGTAGCATCAATAAATAAGGAAGAAAAAGCAAAACCAGCTTTGATTATGTTTTATCGGATAACTACAAATTGCCTGTTACTGAACATATTATCACTGACTCACAAACAAAACTTGTCGACACTAAATAAGCTATTCCAAAAAGATGTTAAACAAGAGATACACACAGGTCATTGACAGTAATAAAGGAAAACCAATTGCTTCAAAAGACATAAAGAACAATTAAGATGCTCCTATCCAAATTATTCTGGAACACCATACATATTTAAAGGAACAAATGATCATACTTTTCAAATATATACATTTTTTATTTTACAAACCATCAAAACCAAACAGTTCAGATCTTACAATTTATACACACACACACACACACACAGAAATGTCATCTTAAGAAGAAGATTAAGTAAAATATTAAAAATTTGAAGAACAAAAGAATTTTGAGTTACAATACCCCATAAAATTTTCCTTATGTAATTGCAAATTAATGAGGCAAAGTTTTCTGAAAATGCAAATGAAAAAGCACTGTTATCATAAACAGAACTCTGCTTCTTGAAAAGCACAATCTGGAAATGGTTCCCAAAGATTTCACAAGTTCTAAATAGAAACCCGAGAACAAGAAGAAAGGACCAAATCCAACAAAAGAATAAGAAAAATACAAAACTTCACACACATTTCATGGTCTTGGTTGAAAGCTTCGGGAACCAGTCGACATGTATCACCCAAAGCAATTAGAAAAAGCGATGGGAAATGGAACAGAGCATGGCGAACCAAGCAAGAAACTGCTTCAAAATCGATAGGATCAAGAACAAGAAAGGAAAGCAAATAAAAGACAGACCTTTGCAACCGCACAAGGAGACGGTAAACCGGGAGATGCGCATCAAGATCGTACCTTTCGATTATTATGGCAAGCGAGGAGAAGATCTTGCTTTCAGTGGATTGTAGGGTAGCGCTTTTTTGTTTGCCGGAGAGCACAAGAAAGCGAGAGCGACGCCCGAGGAGTCGATACGGTGAGAAGGGGATTTAATGGCTACCTGCTTTCTAATTAAGGATGAATGAAACCATAAGCTACCAAATTAACATGTACTTCAACAAGAGAACCAAAAACAAGTGGCCTATGAGTGGTTTGGTTGTTGTTATTGGAAGAACATATCTTTGCTTTGCATCTGCTTGCAAACTATAAGTTGTTGAGGTATTATTCTTCTCAAAATCGTTTGACAATATATGACATGATATATAGGGACAGGAAAACAAAAATCATATCTAGCACATGATGATTCCATAGCTGATGCATTTGTTCTTTGATACTATCACGATTTAGAGAAAGAAAAGCACCAACAAAAACACAAAAGCATGTGAGGCATAAGATCCTTTACCATCAGTTTGTACTCCTAAAATAAATGATTGCTCAATCATCTTGCTTTGAAAATTTCACATAAAATTAAAGATTGAAAGTTGATGACAAGAACAAATTATGTGAGAGTTTGGTTTACTGTCTTTGACAAAATGCTATTAGAGGGGAGTAGATTTATGAAAAAAATTCAGAATACAAAAGGATTACATGAACAGCTGACTACCACATTGGGAGTTGCGCCGGAGTCGAGACTATGATCACGTTGGGAATTCGAGAGTTCGACGGAAGTCCGGACGATCGTCGGAGGTTCTATGAAAACAAATCCGAGAAGTCCAGGAGCTTGCCAAAAGAAGCTCGTCGGAACTCGCCAAGTGGATCGTCGCAAGTCCAGGAGTTTGCCGGAAGTCCGTCGGATCATCGCTAGAGGTTCGTCGGAAGTTCGCCGGAAGCTCGCCGGAAGAAGCGATTGACGCACCGGAAGCAAACTGTAGTAAATGTCTTAAGAAATTCATAGTTAGCACGATGATTAAGTTAGAAATGGGAGATGATCCCATTAACTTAATCTTGGGGCAATTGAGCCCTTGACAGACCCAAATTGGGTCGAATGGATCAGCCCATTCGGACCCAGATTTCTTGGCTAGAGGTGGCACCGCCTGGGTCGGCGGTGGCACCGCCCAGGGCTTAGTCTCCGAGCTCTGGCTAGGCAGTGCAAATGCCTTTGACAGAGGTGCAACCGCCTGAGCTCGGTCTCCGAGCTCTGGCAGGAGGTGCAATCGCCCCTGAAAGGAGGTGGCACCGCCCAGAGGCTTAGCCTTCGAGCTTTGCCAGGCGGTGCAACCGCCCCAGTCAGACGGTGCAACCGCTAGATCCCGGAATTCCAGGAATTGACAGTTTTGAGCTCAGAATTCAAACTGGGTTGGGGCCTATAAATACCCCACCCTTTCAGCAATGAAAGAGTAACCAAAAACCACCGAAATCCTGATCTTACTCTGTGATTTTTAGAGCTCAAAAGTGTTGTATGAGTTATAAGTTCTCCTCCCTCTTTTCTTCCAAGTTCTGAACTTTCAAGAGAGGAGAGAAAATTCTATAAGGGTTGTCTCCTAAGCCCGTCAAAAGGAGTGAAACTATAAAAGGGTGGTTGGCCTTCGCCTATTGAAGGAAGGCCTCTAGTGGACGTCGGTGGAGAAAGCCAGAAGTGGATGTAGGTCAAGATTGACCGAACCACTCTAAAATTGCGGTGCTCTCTAGTTTGCATTTACTTTGAGCATATTATCTTTACCGCAAATCTCCTCAATAGCTTACTGCCTTCTGTGCATTTACGATCGTGTTTCAAAGTTCAGTATTTTTCGAATCGGCGTTTAGACGTAAATCAATTTTATGGTACAAACATCATATTTCAGTTTACGCTTACATTCTAATTTCCATCACAACTGCAAATTGCCTTCATAGACTTGCTTTAACTGCATCTTGCTTGATCACAAGTTAAAGTGATTTACGAATCAACTTTTCTACCGAAATTGCTCTTATCGTACGAACACAGTTTTAATCGTCGAAAGTTTTCCGCTGCACTAATTCACCCCCCCGCCCCCTCTTAGTGCTCTTGATCCTAACACATCCATCATATGGATGGGTATACAGCATACCAATCTGTCCGATTATCACGATATCCCTCTCGAGTAACCTATGACCGAGATTATTTATAATATGTGTTTAAAGATGAATCAATCTCATTTTCGTGATCTCATTACGATTCGATTCCCATTATACAAATCCAAGAACATCACAATATATATATATATATATATATATATATATATATATATATATATATATATATATATATATCTTTAACTACATACAATAGCACATACATGAACAACCAGTTTGCACAACCAACCATAAAAACTGTAGTGGTTCTGTTGTTAAAGGACATTATAATTCCACTTTAAAGTTACATGACACCATTCACTTCCTCTCTCAGCTTGGCAGGGACAAAACCAGGCTCTGCATTACAGAATCGATGTTACAAATCAGATCGATCAGCTCATTCATTAACAAGGAGCACATCAGCCTGCACAAACAGAAGTTAAACCAAAACGATACGCTTTGCACAGTCATTGTGACACACACATACATAACGAAAACCTCTCCACCTAGAGTTCCATCTGGGAGAGCTGCTGCGATCAACTCGAGTCGGTCTCAAAGTCAAGCTTTCGACATATTTCAGGACCGAATTGCCTCGATCTTCCTGGTTGTCTCCTAGGTGCAGGGGGGCATGTCCCTGCAATGCCTGTTAGCCAAGGTAATGAAATGGGTGTCCTGATGCATTCACCAAAGGGCACCTTCCCAGCAGATATTTCTTGTATATGATTTGAGACGATCAGTTCAAGAAACGATCGAAAAACCGACTCCAGGAGGTCCTCATCTTCCTTGGCGGCATCTTTTCGAGAGGAATCAGAATGATAGTCGTCAAAGTTCAGCTGCCGTCGAGAAGGGATTTGCATTTTTCCCTTCACTATCTTCTTCTTAGGGGCAACAACCAATTCTTCTGACCCAGGCGCAAACGGATCAAATATGTTCTTTGTTGGAGTTTGGCAGCCCAAAATTGAGTCAGGCTCCTCAGATTGGTAAGAAGAGGTCGTAAACCCCAAATTCTGTCTGTTTGGAGGCGGGGTTGCAGGATAAACTTCCCTTCTACCAATGAGTTCAACAGATGCATCGTCTCGATCCTCTGAGTGGCTATTGTTTTCCATCAAGGGAGCCTGCCCATAAATTTTATGCCCACCACTTTCCACCTTAATCACAGACTCCATCTCCACCATCGTTCTCATCAACTTTAGAAGCCCTAACTTTCTCAAAGGTGGAAACTTTGGGTCCTGGCCAACTTCCGGAGTCACTTGACCTAATTGTAAACCTGCCCTGACTGGAATAAATATTCCTTTCTGATCTATACTTCAAGTTGAATCCTAGAAGGCAGTTTTCCACGATTAAAATGGGGATTGAACCCAAAGAATCACAATGCCAAGCTCCTAATCAGATCACCCAGAGAAGCACCTATCGAAAATTTGATCTGTTTGTCAAACGAAGATAAGAACGAAAAAAGAATGTCAGTAAGCTCTACGCGTCATCTTGATCTCGAAAGCAAAAAGGAGGCAATTTCTTCAGAACACCTATCGAAAACCCTAGTGACTCGACTCCAAAACAGCATCACCCGCAAAATCGACAACTCCGAACTCAATCAACGATAAAAATTTTCGATTTTGGAGCAAAGAACTCAGATTAAAGGGCAAACCCCCAATCCTTGAAACGATCAGAAACCCTACAAAAACCCATGGGAAAGAAAAGAGGCCATTTTCTGCTACCCTCCAAAGCTATGAAAGAGAGCATCATTCGAGTAGAGAAGAGATAGCGTACCTCTCGATCGTCCGGCCAATCGACCAAGAAGCAACGGGGAGCTTGGCTTTCTGTGAACGGCGAGAGAGGGACGGAATGTACGCCGCCGAAACGAAACGAAGCGAAAAGATACGGCGGCCGTGCTATATAAAGAAAGCGTATAGGCGACGATTCGTGAATCGGACGGCTCTAGTTGCATCAAGCTCCCGCGATCCTCGACTGTGTTTTGCAACAAATCACAGCTTGCCACGTATCCGCCATGCTGCCTAGCTACCAGTCTTGTTCTACGACACGAGATGGCGACCGGGGCGACGCCGAACGCCAATGGCCATGAGCAGATTACAGTGTCATTTGCTCGAACGCCTTGACGATGACATCGTGGGACTCGTTGGAGTTGAGCGACAGGTAGGAAGCTCCTCCAAATCTTTCGATGCCCGGATGTCGTTTTCCACGACAGGTAAGCGATGACAATGCATCCTCCTCAGATCGAGAAAGTGGGTGATGGTAGTCCATTACTGATGCCGAAACTGTAGTTTCATAGCATCCTCACCAATAATGGATTTCCATCACCACCTTCACCGATTGCTAGATCAGTAGTAGTTCACTGAATTCATTTCACCGTCATCACGTCCACAAAAGCATCGATGTTGCAGGGAGAATTAGCGACTGCAGGAAAAATATCATATGTACAGAGAATCCAATCCATCATTCTGACAAAGCTAAGCATGAAACTGTCAGTGAGATTAAAAGGATCAACATGTGAAAATGTCAAACAAGCTAAAAGTGCAATGAATGATCACACATTCTTGCCGTGGCAGCTGACCGGAGAACTCGTGCGCTGTTTCTTTTTTCGCTTTGCCAAGAAGAGTGAGAGAACCAGCACTCTGAGCTTCTTCCTCTTCGCCGAAAACTGCTTCTGCACATCACCATCGTTGATCATTAGAGGAGACAAGAAGTCATCCCTTTTGCTTAGCATTTGGCGGAGGGAAACCTTAGGTTTTCCTTTGATTATTTGAAGTGCTCGTGAATCTTGCTCCTCGCTGCCGGTGAGCTTTCTGCTCAGTATCTGTCCGATCGAAAGGGTGGAACCATGTGAATTGCTACTTGATCCAGCAGTTATCATACTCAGTCCATTTACATCAAGAATCCAAGAGCGCCTTTGATGGGGAGCCGAGGAGTTCTTGAATTTGGTGTTGGTTAGATGAGACAACCGCCGCATCCTATCATGTTGAGACCTCCATTTCCTAAGAGCTTCTTCAGCTGCAATCTTACCACTGGTTGCAGCTTTCTCCTTCTTTAAGGCTTCCTGTAGTGCCTTTCTACTGGTTTCAACATCTGCATTTGTTTCCTCCACCTTTTCCAGTAGATCTACCTTAGATTGCTGTGCTTCTTCTAGATCAGTCATGACAGCTTCCATTTTCCTCCGCAAATTTTCATCAGCCTCTTGGGCTCTTTTGATCAGCACAGCATACTCCTCCATGGCAAGAACAATTTTGTTGGTATTTTGGTGTGCCTCATCTGTATCATTACCATCTGTTTGAGCTTTAATTTCTGCGAGGGCTACAACCTCCGCAGATCTGGCTGCTGCCTCCACCTTTTTTGCTGCAACAAACCTCACCTCAGCAGTCTTTATACTAGACTTTGTCCATTGGATACCAACAGATAGCTTAGAAATTTCACTTTTGGCAGCCTCAGCAGTTCTTCTAAACTTCTCTGTTTCAGACTTGAGCTGTTCCATACGTCTCAACATGTCCGAAGGGCTTTGAGAATCTTTGCTTTTTGCATCTTTGATCTGTGCTATTTGCGACAATGTTATACTAAGGTCTTGTTCCAAGGAGGATACTTTAACAATATTTAAGTTTAGCTTTTCACGGGTTTTCTTAAGAAAAATTTTCTCATCCTCTATTGCACTTTTTAGCAATTCAACTGAACTCTGAGTTCCAGCAAGACCACTTGTGGTCTTGTTCAGGTATAACTTAGCCTGCTTCAACTCCCTTAAAATCGAAACTGGGGTTTGCTTCTGATCAGAAATTTGATCTACGGGCACCTTGTGGCTCTTAGAATAGGTGGAGCACTTTTCATGAGTATTGAAACTCGGAGGCATCAGCATCGTACAAGAATATTTCTCTGGATCATCAATGACTTGGGAGGCTTCTCCCTGTAGTTGTAATTTTAAGCCATCTGCTATTTTTTTAGTCATTTCCAGTTCTTTCAACACATTAAGTGTCTCTCTTTCCTTCAAAAAAAGATCCATCTCTAACTTTATGGTTTGTTCTTCCATTTTCATAAGCTCAACATCCTGAAAGCAACCATAGTTTTCTTCAGAAATCCAACTTACATAATATTGAAATTATGGATGAAGGTGTTATGGAGGGTCTTTAGTGATAAAAAGAAAAAGGAAATCTAGAAGTAGCTCTGAAAAGCAAAGAATGAACAAAAATGTCTCTTCCAGAAGATCTAACTATAATCAATGAAGCCAAGGAGTTCAAAGTCTGTAAACTAGAACATATGCTCCTCAGACAAAGTCCGTTCACCTAATTGAAACAGCAAATTAACAACTCATTTACATTATCCTGCATATTGCTGAAATTTGCATACCATGCAAAAGTTCAAAGCAAAAGAAGTTATCAACTCATGAATGTTATCCCTCAAGTTATCAACTCATGAACGTAATCCCTTAGGTTATCAACTCATGAAGTTACCAAATTTGGCCTTTCTAAGAGAACTTTTGTGACCTTTCTTTATCCAATCATATGGAAAATTTAGTAAAAAACACAGCATGATAATTACAAAGCAATTTTTCGATTTAAAAGACACCAAAATCTTAACAAACTTCCAATTGTTTAGCCAATATAAATATAATCTACTTTGAAAATCAAGATTGAGGTGGCTGATTTTGGTCACTTTTACTTAATCAAACAAGGTTAACTTTGGCTGCAGGATGGCGGCCACACATAGAACCCAGATGGAGCTAGGGCCATGCCAGAAAGCCCACTCACTTGGCCAATGGCCTGAGCAATCGCACATGCTTTCCTTCACACATGGCTTCCATCATATTGGTATCTCTAAAATTAAAATAACGGTAGCTACTTAGGTCAATGTTAAAGCTCCTTTCTCGTATGAACTCCATCTAAATTATATTATGAAAACCCACAAACAGAAGAGGTTAAGGATGGGCCACATGTTAGTTGTACCCCTGTATTGGCAAGAGTATGCGCATATACTGGGTACAAAGGTGTCTTTAATCACTGCTTCACACTTCAAATGAATCGAATAAGATGGTTTGGTAACTGTTAGGAGGAAGAACTTGGCAACTTTATATTCTGACTGAAGTGAGTCAGACGATTTAACTGTTAGGGAAAGAAATCGAGCACAACTTGCCTACCAACGTGGGCCTGTACACATGAAGGACACCAATCAACCCAAAACCCAATCTATTTTTTGAAGAAACATATGATCCTAAAACTAACTATTCATTGAAATTAGGAAGAAAAAAAAAATCCCTCAGTCAAGTAATTCATGCCGCACTCCCTGGTAAACAGAAAATTATGCTCGGCATATATCTTGTTGATTTTCTGTGCCCGAAAATATTTTCCATTTTCCATGTCAACTGGGTATTCTGTCCAAAGCCTTGGTAACAGTCCTCCTTTTTCTCCCTCAAGTTCCATGCATTTGACTGTCTTAAATTAGCAGCTTTCAAGTGCGTGTGACCTCTTATGATATTCCATTTCTTATTTACATAATGAATGATTTTCACATCAAATTCTTAATTATTGTCAGGTATCACAATATCTCTCATCTTTGATGCTTCAAGTTATTGACAAAGTGTATCAACATTCCTGGATTGTCCTGCCTTAGGAACATCTTGAAGACAATAGTTTCTCATGAAGTCTTAAGACCCTCACTATCTCGAATAGTTCTTATGAGATTCAATCACTGTACCAAAATCAGTCTAGGAATTTTGTCATACCTTCGTCGAACCTGAGTAACCTCTATGTTCTCAAGATGCCAAGAACCAATTTTCTTAAGATATTTACTTGCAGCTGACTTGCAACAACACTGTCCTTGCCAAGGTAAGAAAACAAGTAATGTAGAGTTGCCACAGGTACCAATTTCTCATAAAGCAAACATGCAGAACAACCATGCTTCTCTAAAATCACTCTTCAGAAACCATGTACCAATTTCTCTTTTTCTTCTTTTTTTTTCTTTTTGAGGAGCGAAACCAGATTAGCTTGAGTAAAGCAATCTTCTTTTTCCTAATTCACAATCACTCGCCCGTTACTCCAATCATAATGCCCAAATCCTGCGATTCCGTTCATCAATCAACTAACCTTGTTTACCTACATTCATCGATACGACCAAATCGACCTGTTTAATTCATGTTCCTAGTGCCACTGACGGGGAGCACTACCGGATGTGCCCGCACCACCGATTGGCCTACACTACCGTACTTCAAATGCGAGTAAAAGTAGAGAGAGAGCAGGGGATCACAAGACCAGTGAGAAGAAGAGAACTGTGGACTGACACTATGGAGTAGAAGACTTGACTAGTAATCGGTGTTACCTCAGGGGAAAGAAGAAACTGAGGGCATGGCTGCGGCCTCCACGGAGTGGCGCTCCCACCAAATCGGTCGACGGCCTCCTTCACAGACCTGAACGGGGCCGAGAAGTCGACCTCCCCTCTCCCGCTCCTCTTCGCCGCCTCCTCCATGGAACCCGCAGCAGCAGGGGCAGCAGTAGGAAGAGGTCGCAGCCTCATTATCGTTCCCTCCTCGCGGAGACCGCTAACCCGGGAGACATGGCATGGCAGTGGAAGAGGAGGGAGGGAAGAGCGGCCGATAGGGTGGTGAGATACACTTCGTCTATGCGGCACTGATTTTGACCGTCCAATTATGACTGTAGATAAATCAGGGGCGTCCGAGTACCGCATCGCCGAAGGAGATGAGCCAAAGGGGTGACGAGTGGACGGCGGATATGATATCGCGTAATACTGCAAAAGGTGCGTTACGCACGAAGCATGTGGTGACAGTACGCCTCAACAGCGATCCCGTGACTCCCACTCCCGCATCGCGCAGGGGATCGCATCACGAGGCGCCAAGACTGGCCCTCCAAATATATATATATATATATATTCATTCTTTATTACAAAGGAAAGTGAACAATTTACTAAAAAAAAATACCAAATGGTATCTGTCAACTGAAAATTTTAATTATGAACTTTATTTCTTTTAAACCTAATTTTAGATTGAAAAAATAAAATATTTTTATAAAAATTTGAAGCTAGATCAATATTTTTTAAATTTAAGATATTAATCACTATACAATTATTCATATTTTAATTTTATTTTATATTTAATTAGTTTGAAATGATAATTGATGATCTCGACTTGAATCGAATTATAGTCACCACTAAACATGATTTATCGTCTTCTTTTTCTCTATCTAAATATTGATATATATATATATATTCAAAATTTATCGACGATCGCAATCTTAATTTTTTTTTAAAAAAAATTCCTTCAATTAAATTTTTTTATAATTTAATTATTTTTTTCTCCAAACAAATTGGTTTCACATATTCAAAATTACTTGTTAACCCCGTCACACATGCAATCTTGAATGAAATTGTTTCTATAAAACTATCTGCACCGACATGCATAGCATACAGACAACTATGAGTTTGGATCTTTGACTTGTTTAAGGGAGCAGTGCAAGTCAAGTCTTGGGTTCTTCATGTTCCAATGGTCCTTTCATCTTTAGGTGAGAACAATGAAGAGGGACTATATTGTAGTCAAACAAGTCGTCTGAGGAGGCAAACTCCTCGAGCCCTCAAACGAGGAATTGTCTTCTTTCAATCTCAGCTTCGTTCCTAAGGAAGCCAAAGGAGAGAGACTTAATAGCGTTCACTTCACATCTAATCCTAACTAAGAAAGACAAACAATGGAGATGAGGTGCTCGACGGAGCTAATCGAGGAGATTAAAGTGTCTCCGAGGTCGTAATTCGGATGGCTTTAAATGCAAGCAGTAGATCATGAACAGGAGAATCCATCAACGTTTAATCACTTTAATTTCGTCAGATAAAGATTTATATTTGCAGTCTCAATAAGTTGATTTTTTCTTTATATTTATGTGTTATTTTTGTTTGTTTTTTTTTTGTGATAAGAGGTAAGAAGCATGTTGTTCATGGATTTGTCATGGGAAGATAATAGAGATTGACATTTTATAGAAAATGTATTGATCAACAGATGAGAAGAAATCAAAATTAAAATGCATCTAAATTGTTAGCTAGCTCATGACAGAGGAAGCACTGCAAAGCAATACAGCTGTAGGAGGACTTTGGTGGTGTGCTTTTGTATGATACTCCAAATTGTATCAGCTGGTAGGGCCATTAAATTGCTGCCATGAGAAGGACAAAAGAGGTGCCATGTTTTCCATTCTTCCATGGAGCTTTTATCATCTCATTGGGAAGTATCTTTCACTGAAAGATGCCTCTCTCCAGCTTTTGTCTGTAAATGGAGCACCAATCTTGTTTCTACCTAATGCTGCTGTTGTTGACCAAGTAGAAGTTACCTGGGTCCTCTAATCATCTCTCTCTTTCCCTCTTGAGAGGCTCCCGGACTCCATTGCTGGAGGAGCCAAAGCTCATGAGCTGAGGCACTATGGTGTGGCTGTTGTGCTGAACAAAGGACTTGTCTTCGGCGTGGATGATCTGCTGGTTAGCCATTGACGACTCCGCCTGCTGCATTTGAATCCATAAGATCTCCGCTTGAGCCACAGCGAGCTGCATCTGTAGCTGAGATACTTGGTCTTCAAGGTAGGAGATGACTCCCACGCAGCCGTAGATTGGATCTTTCATCCTCGCATTCGCCTCGTAGACAAGGCTTCTCACTGCATCTGCTCGCTGATGCACGGACAGTTCCTGCATCGATCCATATAGTTAGCCATGTTTTCAGAGAGAGAGAGAGAGAGAGAAAGAGAGAGAGAGAGACCTTCAACATCTTGCTAACGTTGCTGGCACCGAAGACCTTGTGAACGATGGCGAACTTGTAGGGATCGTCGGGAGGGAAGTAAGGAGCAAAGATGCAATCTTTAGCGCACCGTCGCCGGAGCAGTTTGCAGGAAGCACAGGGAGAGCCGCCACCCATTTCTCCCACGTGAAACCAAGATCGGAAGCGAGAGGAGGAAGATGGGGATCACAATGGATGGTGATGCAGTCTTATAATGGTGGTGTAGTCTTTGAGAGGTAGGTCGAAACAGCAACAGTGAGCAATAAGATATTACAGAAGGTGTTCTTGGGATTTCAAGATTGTCTTGCATGTTCACATGTAGTTCAAGTCTGCTCCTGCATCGTCTCCATCCTGGATCTCAGACAAGGAGAGTTGCATGAAGCTTCGTTCTGGACGTTGAACCTTCGAACTAGCTTCTCCTTACCACGTGTCCTTGCTGCTAGCTTTTGATGATGATGATGATGGAGCAGTCGATCAAAGTAAAGAGTGGACATAAGGCGCAAATCTCTATGGTTGAATTGTCAACTTTGACTTTAGTTGTTCTTCTCCCAAAAAAAGTCAATCAAGATCAAATAAGAAATAGCAAATGGGCAAACATGTTCTATTCTTATTGGAATCTTGATTTGAGACGAACTCAATGTTCAGATTGATTGAGAAGACTGTAGAGAAGCACATGCTGAATTTTCTCGAGATGCGTGCTTTAATTGATCAACGGTGTGGATGTTGATCCGTAGGATCCTTTTTATATGTGGTATAGTATCAGATTCATTTACCAAATTTTGCTTTATAAAGATAATATTGATTCAAAGAAATATATATTTTATGTTCAAACAATAATATAAATTTATGGTAGGGAGTTAATAAATGTGAGAAACAATAGAGAGCGTATTACTGATAACAGTATCGTATAAATAGGCGAGGAGGTGAGATGGGCGTGATGCTGTTCTTGTTGTCGATCTTATAAAGCCTCCTCCCCATCCATCGCCTCCACCGCCTCATCTTCTTGCCTCCAAACCCTAAGCTATCCGACCGGAAGGACGGATCAACCGACTACCAAGCCCGGATTTCGATCGATCTCTCCCTTCCGCTCCAGTTCCGATCCCTAGGTACGTTTTCTCTACCGCTGACTCTCTCACTCTCTCTCCATCGATCCGTGGCGATCGGTTGCAATTAGGTAGGTCTCTTCGCCCCGATCCTCGTCGGAATCCTCTCGACTGTTCTTGCAGTGGATCGCGATGATCTGGATTCGGTGTTTTTCTTACTCTCATTTGGCTAGCGGGGTGTTTTGCGTAGCGTGTTGCTCTATATGCTTCCAAGAAAGAGATCTGTGGGAGCTGTGGTTGAAGAGGACCGGGAGCCGATAGCAGAAGAGGCGGTGCAGAAGAAGGCTAAAAGGGACTGCTCGGTCTCTTCCGAGGTGGCGGGGTCGTCGGCGATGGAAGAGGAGAATAACCGAGCCAATGGCACGGAGGTCGATGCTAATGGGAACAGGAAGCGGTCGGAGATTGATGAGGACTTGCACAGCCGGCAGCTGGCTGTGTATGGAAGGGAGACAATGCGTAGACTCGTTGCATCAAATGTTCTCATTTCTGGACTTCAGGGCCTAGGAGCTGAGATAGGTAAATTTTCCTGACTCTGGATATAATTTCTTTCGTTCCTGAATGAATTGATTGCTAACCATTTTTCGTCGAATCTTCTCTTATACTAGAAAATAATGCGACTGACAAAGGCACCAGTCGGGGGCTGTTGTGTCTGTTAATTATTCATGGCGTTCTGTATAGTAGCTCTGTCTTTTTCGTCATCTATTTCTTTTGGAAACCTGAACCAGAATAGGAGAGCTTGCCCCATCCATGAATTAAAAGGCTTTGTTACATGATGCTAAGTCGCCTGTTATTCATGTAGTAAAATGTATTTGTTAATCAGCTATCTACTTATTTTTGTTTCACTTTTATGCCATTTTGTTGATGGACTTGATACACACGTCTTCTTTTAATTCTTTTAATGAGCAGGCTTGTGTAGGTTTTTGGCTTAAACTTTACTCTTATGTAGGTAATTTGTGCAGAAAATAAACATCCTTCATTATTTCATTTCTTGTGTTCTTGGAGTTATGATGTGGCAATCTTTAGTATCAAAACTGTTCATCTTGCGATTTTCGTTTATGTTGTGCTTTCTTTTGGTAGTTGCACTAAAAATGTTTGACAACATGAACTTGTACATTCTGTTTGCTTGCAGCAAAGAATCTTGTTCTTGCAGGCGTCAAATCTATTACCTTGCATGATGAGGGGGATGTAGAACTTTGGGACTTGTCCAGCAATTTCTTTTTCTCAGAAGATGATATTGGTAAGAACAGAGCTCTTGCTTGTGTTCTGAAGCTGCAAGAGCTGAACAATGCTGTTACAGTTTCCACTTTGACTGGAACTTTGTCAAAGGAGCAGCTTTCTTGTTTCCAGGTCTGTCCACTGAATGTTGTATCTTAAAGTGTGTTGTAGAACAGCTTCCATGTATTTAGTAATCACAATATGAATAGGCTTATTCTTATTTTATCACCATGTGTTTGTTGCAAAAATAAGTTGCTTCACTGTGACATGCACATGGTAGCTGTTTCCAGCCTATCTACAAATTTTTGAGGAGTAAAAAAAAAAAAGAAGAAGATGAGGGGAAAGACAAAATGTAAAAGGGAGAGGAGAGAGCGAACTCGAAGGGAAGGCAAAAGAACTGCAGTCATGATTATAATTATGAAGCAGAGGAGGAGGTGGTGTTGTTGCCTTTGCCATCTGTTGTGACTGTCGTTGATGTCTTCTTGCTGTCATTGCCATTGCATATGCATTGGTTCCCGCATGAG